TGAGTTTACATATAATTCAAGCTTATAAGTAAGTTAACACGATTTTATAAGTTAAAAATATAAAAAATAGTAAATTTAGAGACAAGGGCAAAGCCAAAAATATTTACTTGGGGAGCTAAGATGACAAGGTATACATGATAATTAAAAAAAATAAAATTTATGTATATCACTAACATAAGATAAATATTTTGATGTATATATTTACATTAAATTTACATCTATATAACAAAAATAAATATATACTTTCATTTGTTAAATTTTACTCATCAATTTTTTATGATACAAGAATGATTAATTATCAATTTATCATGTCTATGATAAAATTTTTAACAATTTTTTTTCTTGATAAAAACTACCATTAAATTGGCAAAGATTGCATCTTACTTATAAGCATTGAATAATTTAAATGCATAATTAAAATTTAAAGTTTTTTTCAATCTAAAAACTTTGTTACTTTCTTACTGAGTTTGCTACTTAATTATTTCAATTGATAATTGTAGTAAATAAATACATGAACATGGTAATGACACTCAATTGTTTAAATTCTTTATATCAAATTGATATGAGTATATCATAGTAAAAACCATTCATTTAAAAAATTTCAATAACTTGGATTATTGTAGAAAAAATTAACTTTTTTCTAGAAGGACATATCTTAACCATAACATCTTAACTATTGTTTGAGTAATTTTATAGTAGATATCAAGCATACCACATTTAATATATTTTAAAATTTTTGTTGCAATGGTCAATAAAGTTTATTCATAGTAATTTTTATAATTTATTTTATCAAATATAAAATTAAAGAAAAATCAAGTGACATCAATTCTTTAAAAGTAACTATAACATTATTTTATTAAAAATAAGTAACTCCTATGATAATTATATATTCAAACTATTTGAATAATAAATTAAAAATATAAAAATGATAAACTCAAAGAACCAATTTATTGCAAGTTTGACAATGATACTTAAAAGGCTGTTTTTTTATTTATTTATTAGAAGGCTTGGCTCATAGCATGTGGTTTTATCAGCTAGTTAATAAGCTTATTAGAATTTTTATTTCTTATAATATAAAATGATAACATGCATGCGATATGAATTAGTATATTAAACAAAATTACAACAAGCATAGATTGTAAAGTTATGTAATACTTCATACAATTTTAAATATTTGAGTTGTCATCATTTAGATGCCAACAACAAGGAGGAAAAGAGAGGAGTTACGTTAGACCTGATTTATTTCCACACAATCGTTTATTGTCAGACTTCAACGAAAAGAAAGAGAGAGAGAGCGCTTACAATCTAATCCTCTCTCAACTTCCAGAACCTAAACTCTTCTATACCCCTTTTATTTTTAAATATAATTTTTTTTAACAAACTCACATAGTTTAAGTAAATAAATTAATTATAATAATTATATTTAAAATTAAAATAATTAGACTAAAATACTTTTATAATTAATGTTTATTTTTTCTCTAGTTCAAATACAATAAATTATTCATCAGGGACAATTTAAAAAAAATATATAATTAATATTTTTTAAAACTTATAACTTGTAATAAAAAACAATAAAATACAGGATAGTTTTTATTGTATTTGAAAATGGGGGAGTACTTTTATGTAAACGAGAGAAAAAAAGAAGAATTTTTTTTTTTTTTTAAAGGGTTGAGTGTGGAGGTTTGTTTGGATTCATTGATGGAGAAAGAATGGGGTAAGGTTAGTGACAGTCTGGACTCCGGAAAACGTGGTTGCCAAAATAAGGCAAGCCAAAGCTGCTTTCCAAACTCGGAGGCACCCACTCCATTTAGTCTCCTCTTCGTACTCTCTGCCCGACTCTCCACGCTTCTCTTCCTCATTCGCCACTCCCTGGGACCCACCATTCTCGGGCACGAAATCTCAACAGAAAACCTCCCTTCTCGCCCCACCCTTTTGCTCCCACCTCGTCCCCTGTGGGCCACCCTCCCTGTCTCCAATCTCCTGCGTCCTGGCTCTCCTACGACGTCGTTCTTCATGGCCCCTCCTCATCCTAATCAAATCTCTCAACTCTGAGTCCCCACGTTACGACGTCGTTCCCATAGGCCATCAGCCTTCCGCCACCGCTTCACTGTATTCTTACTTGTGAAAGTTGATACCTTTGCCGCTTCACTCTCGTGGTCACGTGCTCCTTTCTTTTCTTGATATAAAGTAAATGTAATTAGCTTTAGCTTTACATTTATTTAAATAAATAATAGTTTCGAGCTACCGTTATAAAGATCTGGAACTTATTTAACAATTTATTCTGAAAATAATTTTCTGTTATTCAAACTAAAAATATATATATATTCAGTAACATACTTTTAAAAAGTATTTTAAAGAGTAAAAAAAATATTATTCTAAAAAAAAAGAAAACATCTTTTAAATGTTTTAAAATTATTGTTCTGAAAAATAAGGAGGCATAAGAAAAATATTCATTTTTATTATTTTTTTATTCTTGAAACATGTTTCACAAAATATCAATTATTAAAATAATAAAATAAAAATAGTTTTAAAAAGGCCCTTGTTTTTTAAATTAGGCTTATAAATTGTAAGCTCTCATCTCCTCTAGTTCATTTCCTAGATTAGGATAGTGTTATAATGTTGCATTTAGGATATTACTTTTGGATTTTCTCTCTCCTTTTTAAACGCTAATGTATATCTATTCAAGACTGGGCATTAAATATGAATATATTTTTTAATAAATTTTTAAATATTAATTTAACATGTTGTGAGAAATTAATCATTTTCTTTATATCCAACTCGTATAAGTTTTTGAATCTCCTCTTTATTTAGTTTCAACTACATTGCATTTTCTTTCTTGTAACTATCCATGTTGGATTGATGTTTTGTTATAAAAAAAAAAATTCACTTGGCAGAAGAAAATTGTAGTTACATTCTAAAAATTGTTTTAAAAAATATATAACTTTTCAATTTTGTCATTCTTACTAATCATACTAAATTGTTGTTTAGAAATTCAAACAATAATAAATAAAATACAGGTAAATTTAAAAAAAACTAATTACTCTAACTTTATCTTTATATTAAGAATTAATTTTTTTTACAAAAATTTACATTATATTAAGCGTCGAGAGCGTATACTCTGTCTGACTAAACAAGACATCCATATTCCGATATTCATATTTGTTTCTCATTCTCATCCCAACCAACCAACCAACCATCAATTTCCATCGCAATTTAATGATAACAAAATTGTACACAAGCCCCAATTGCATATTATTAGACTGTCCAAGGGATCGAATCTCATAGGAGTTCCATAACAAGAAGTATTTTTTATGAGTTTCACTTATCTAAAATTATATGCAATATATAAAAGATACCTTTTAATTAATTATAATAATTGAAAGAGAACTTATTTTGGGCGCTTATTTAAAGTAGGTAATTTTTATGCTTCAGCCCCATTTGATGGGAGTACGACAAAAGAAGGCTCATATAACAATAATTCAATTAAGTTTACGTATGGTGATTAAATATCACTTTTTTATTTTAAATTATAAGACACTTTTAAAGAAATTTTTTTATCTCAAAATATAAGACATTTTAGGTAGATTAATGTTTCATTAAATACATTATTTTTAATATTACTTTTTCTCTCTTTTTAATTAATTTATGTCCCTTTTCTTTTTAATATATTAAATAATAATATTTTTAGAAGTTTATATTTTTTTTTAAAAAAATAAAGTTGTTAAGTGTACTTAATGAGGTTTATTGATATGTGAGATTTTATCTAAAAGTATGTTATAATTTAAAATAAATGGAGTATTAATCATGAATTATAAAACCAATTCAATGATTCAGAGCTGACACTCAAACTCTCCAGTGCAAGCCAACTTTAGAATCCACGGCCATTAGCTCTCAACAAGCACGTTGTCAATCCATATATTTAATGATTTTTTAGCAGATGTTGTCAATGTCAATATAGCGACTTCGTTTTATCAAGTGTGGATTTTAGTGGAAGGAAAAATGATTATTTAAATACGAAATCTTGAATTGGAATCCATAAATAACCATACTAAAAGACCTTCATTTTTTCTTAGGGAGAATGACAAATAAAGATTTTATAAAAAATATTAATATTAAATTAAATTTTTTCACAATTAAAGTTTTTAAATTCAATACTTCTTTTCTCATGTTTTAATATTAAAATCTTAAAAAAAATTAATTTAGCATTAATCTTCTTACAAGTTATTTGTCATCCTTTTTTTAATTTTTAATATCTTTACAACGATTCTCTGTTTCAACTTCGTTTTCCCAAGAGCGCTGAAATCAAGTGTCAAAAATCAGTTTAATAACACTTAGGATTTTCCTCCCTTTTCGAACGACCATTTTAGTGAAGATTCATAATACTTTTATTTTTTTTATTCATCAAAAAAGACATGCTTTATAGTATATTTTTTTTTTATTATCTGAAGTATTCCCACAACTGACAGTCATGAAATTAATCCTCCAAAAAATCTGAACTTCATTTAAGATATTATCCTCTCCCAAGTAATATTTTTATTTTTCCATGCTTTATAGTATTGCTTAGCATGCTATGACACTTGATTCTCTTGGGTACAACTTATTTGTATACCTTCTTTCTTATTTCACTAGACATTTTTTTTCATGTATTGTACATACTTTTGTTACACATGTGTTTGATATATTGATCTGTGCCAGAAATTATATGATTTTTTAAAAGGATTAACACCATTTCCCCTTAAACTTTAAGTTGATAATAATAATAATAAAAAAAAACATTGAGAGCCCTCCTATCTCTTTGCATCAAAATCAATTCAAAAAAATAAAAAAAGAGAGGGCCTAAACAACATGGGAGATGGGCCAAACTCAGCCAGCAACCACTCATCATAGAAGCATCATATCATGTCAATAATTGGTTTAACTTAAAAGCTCATGCTTATTATTTTTATAAAAAAAAAGAAAGAAAGGAAAAAAGAAAACTTAGGCCACGAAGAGAAGGTCAATAATCTCTGAGAAAAGAAATTTGCACTACGAAGATTAACTAGCTTGAGTATTAGGAAAAGAACAATCTTTTTCTAAGAATAATGATGGGACTATACAGAGACTCAACTTTGCCATCAACACAGCTAGATAGTGTAATCAAGTACATTCTGTTAAACTTTCCAACACTAATAATTAACCTAGGCAAGGCAATGACCACTCAGCACAATTTTTCTATCTAAAAAATAGCATCTTCCAATTTTTCCAACTCACAATTCCCCTCACATTCTCAACAAAAGAATCAAAGTAGCAGAAATGGGGGCAAACCTGCAGTTTTGAGCTCAACTTTCAATGTGAAACGCGGTTTTCTGTCTTCCCTACGCTTCCAAGAACTGATGCAGCTATCTTTTACCAAATATTAAGCATCTGTTGTGTTTGAATTCAGTGATAGTAGGATCTGCATTGTGCTGTTGCTTTGTCTGACTAGAGAGCGCGAGCTTCTCCATGGCATTCATGAACTTGCGCAAGTGCTTGATGTACTCTGGAAATGTCTCCAGGTTGCAATGTCCCCCACCTTTAACCCACAAAGGGTCATATTTCTCCTTGGAAAGTTCCCACAATCGCTTTCCATGAGACCAATCAACGATATCATCGTTTGTTCCCTGTTTAGAACGCGTTAGTAGACAAACAAAACTACTGTTAGCAGAGGGAATTTTGTTGACTTCATCGAATAAATTTTTCACTACAAACACAAAAGAGTTGTTCTTGTTTGCTACAACATTGTCATCTCACATTCCTTAAAATTTCAGACTCAATGGTATTCAAGATGCTCATATTTCAAATCAAAATTGACAGCTGTGGAAAAGGATAAAATTGATACTTTCTAAGAGTTAACAAAGCCAAATAAAAAAAAAAAAATCAAGAATGTGAGATTCCTTTGGTTTCTAGGTGACCCAAGATACCGACCTAAATGGTGCAAGCCTCTCTCTCTCAGATGACATTAGACATCCTAGATACCAATCTACCAAACATCACTTGAATTTATGAGTGATGATAATAGCATTGTCAAATAAAAGTGGAAGAAAACTAACGAGTTCATATCATAGGTAATGAAGTTTGCACCTAACTTTTCAACTTGATGGCGTCAATTACACAGATTACCAACAATACTAGGCACTACTTGAGTTGAAATCAAAGAGTAGCTTTTGGTTTAATTGCAATTCATCAATGCCTAACCACACATTCCATCATTCAAAAAGAAAGGCAAAGCCCAATCTATTAATCTTATGAAATCTAGGCACTGATTATGTTGTTTGGTCGTACAAGACAAACAAGGGATATCAAACTCTTCTACTACAGTCTGACCATTAGACTTCCTCACATCTTTTGATCTCATGGAATATTCTTCCTACTCAAAAGAAAAGGTGAAAGCTGTTCCCAGACTCAATATTTGTAGTACACAGCCAAAACAAAGGATGCCAAAAGAAAGAAGCGACTAAAAACCATATTGGGAGAAGCATATGTACAAAACACATTTAATGCCTATTGAGCAGTACCACTCTTCATGTGCTTTATGTTTCCAAGTGACATAGACTGCTCATATAAGTTCGCTGCAACACGAGGAAAATGAGTCATGTCTAGCACATAGAACTTACTTTATCAGGATCATCTTCAAGGGGGAGTAATGTCATAGGGGAATTAGGGGAAATCTAGGAAATCGTTAGGAACTTAGGTCAGCTAATTAATTTGCCAGGAACCCATCCAACCTCTTTAGGTAAGTAGAAGAAGGATAGACAAATAATGGGGTGAAAAATTGAATGGTGTTTTTTGTTTGGTTTTTCTTTGAGGCTTGCCATGTACCAGATATAGATTTCATTCACTGCTGACTCTAAAGTTTGCCATATCGTTAATTACTACAGAACCTAAAGTCAGCAGTAGGCATCCGTGCTATTCATTGTGCCAAAAAAAAAGAAATGCTATTCACAATGTGAATCTTACAAACAATGGCAAAAAGTCCAGAATTATATGATTCATAGTACGAAGTCACAAACCTAAAAACATGAATCAACGGTTGAATCATGTGATTCAAGCCAATATGGCAGAATAGCACAACTTAGAAATTCAAAGTCATGTGAAAGCAATGAGTTGACATAACAATATTATGTTGTTGCTAAGTGTTGTTTATGCCTAATTGGCCCTTATAAGCAAGCTAAGAAGGAAATCAAGCATTTCAAAATTTAAATACTTACAAATTATATGACTAATAAAGTTTATCTATGAATTATGTTTATGTACTTCTCTATCTCTCGTGTTGGGTTTATGACGTTATATATATATATATATTTGCAAATTGTATGTATATATCAAATATATTTCAGGTCATTTCTACTTGTTATTGAATCTTACTATTTGATGCATTCTACAATTCATGATTTAGAAGCATGCTATACACATCATGATGTGACAACCATCAACTATGTTACCACTTTGTGGGGGAATTTAAGCACTATATTGTTTCTTAATTCAAGCAATTGATGAACTCTCAAAATTTTTCACTGTTGAAACAGGATCTGAAAACCATGCTATAATGCTGTTTGCATTAGGTGGGATTTGCATTCAAATGTAGACATGAGATGACATTTGCAATTTTTTAAATAATGAATACTATAATTTTAAATAAATGATAAATCAATATAACTGACCCTCCAGACTTAATTTTCTATTCTATTCTACCTTCTTCAAGGCTCAGCCAAGCTTCCAAATCAATGGCTCATTCTCAAAACTAGCAAAATATGGAATCAAACCAATCTCTTGAAGACAACAGACTCAAGAAAGAAACTCGAGCAATTCACAGCAATGAAAGAGACATGACTACAGAAGCTGATCATGAATCATGGCAGGAAAGATATACGTACATGTATAACTAAGACTGGACAGTTGACATTCCGTATTTTGTCTATGTTCTGAAATGATTGAAAACACCTTTGTTAATTAGAAAAACTAAAGGTAAAAGATCACAGCAGATTTGAAATTCAGATGAACACACGCAAAACTTACTTTGAATATGTCAAACCAAAATGTCATCTTGACAGGGTACAAGACCCTAATCCCTGAAAGGATCGCGCTGTGAAGAACAACACCTCTCAGCTTCTGTAATTTAGAAGCCAAGTGTAGTGTGGGTCCACTTCCAACTGATTGACCGTACAAGATTAATTCTTCTTGCTCAACTCCATATTCTCTCTTCAAACAGTTATAGACAGCCTCTATGTCGTAATAAGTGTTGAACTCAGATGGCTATCATGGAGAGATTATAAATCGAACATAAGATACAAGTTAGATCAGTGGAAGGAATTTCTAATTTTGCTTTCTTTTACATCACCTTAGACTTATGCCAATGTTTATTTGTGGCTCAATGAGAGATATCTTTGAAATCAACTCTAGAAAATAATAGGAGGCAAAAAGAGAGAACGAGAGAGTGAGAGAGAGAATCATACGGTTTACTTACCTTACCAGTAGATGCTCCATATCCTGAGTAGTCATAGCTGCAATATAACAAAAGGTCCCAGGAAAATATTCAGAAAGGCTCTCTTTTTACATCAAATAGATAAGTAAATTAGCATCCTATAAGATATTAGGTCGAGTAAAATCAGATTACGGATAGAAGAAAATTAGATGGAAGCAAAGCAGCAAAATACTAGTAGAACTAGACCAATAAGGTCTCAAATTTTCCTGAAGAGCAGGCATGCTAGCTTCATTATCTGAGACCACTACTGTTTTTATCAGATTTGAACACTAACTTAGGACCTCCACTTTTTTTTTTTTTTTTTCGTAGGGTTAGAGGAGAAGCAGAAGCGAAGCTTGTTGGTGGACCATTCCAAAAAAGCAACAAGCAAACAAAATTCATCAGAACAATCGGTTTCATTTTCGTAGAAAATAAATTGCACGACGACATGCACAGTGGTTTATAATGCAGAAACGGAATCGTTTCAAAGGATGAATTTATAGGGAAAACAGCATTCATGCTGTATTCATGCCCCAAGAGCCACCCAGTAAAGCCGAAGAAGAAGGAAGGCTGAGAACAACACCCATTCGCCTATTTCTCAATAAACATGAGAATTTGAGACCCGCAAAGAACAGAAAAAACGAAACAGTAAGAGTACCTCATAACATTAACACGAAGGTGAGCTCTGAGCTCAATGAAGAGCTCTAGCATCTGACCCAAGTCAGCAGCATTACCATGAGAGTACAAAATCGTGAACCTCGCAAAAGGGTATCTCCAAAAGGTGGCGACGATCTTATTCCCGGCCTTCGTATCGAGCTGATGAACGTCCACGTTCTTATCGGCGGTGACCCCGGAGAAGACGAGCCTTCCATCTTGCTCTCTGTAAACGTCGTACGTTGGTGGGTCCGGTGGAAAGAAAGCGAATTTTGCAGCCACGCTTCCAGTAACATTGCCCATCAACGCAAACACAGTTCAGAAATTGAAATAATACACAGCTCGTGAAGTGATTTCGGCATGAAATGATTCTGGGTACTCTATTCCATACTGAAATGAAAAATCTCGTTTTTATTCTTATTTTCTCCAGCTTTTTTTTTTTTTTTTGGAAGGGTTGTAAAATAAACTGTGATCTTTTTGATTTCGAAAGAGAGAAAAATGATGATGCTGTTTTCGGATTTTGCGAGATGCTGAGTGGGGACGATGGAAGGAAAATGGTAATCCAAGTGGCGCGCGATGAAAACGAAGATGGAAAGTGATGTGTGGAAGAAAATAGATCCGACCTAAGCGGGTGAGCTGGACCTCCTGCTTCGTCGACCAGTCACCTTCCTCTGAGAAAAATAAAAAATTTATTGATTTTTTTCCAACTGCCTCAGTTTTAATTAATTGTGGTCCAATGATTGTGTGAGTACTTATTTTACGAGAAGATTTAGGTAAGTTCAGAATATGGTATACCATATTTTTGCTCAAAAAAAGAATATGGTATACCATATTGAAACGTTGATAACAAATACTTTGTCAACGATAATGTTTGTTGGGTTCAATATTTTTCTTTTTTTAAAACCTGATTTTGGTTAGAGTTTGAATCGAAATAGAACACCACTTTGTATTGAGATAGTAAGACAGAACTAAGGGAGTCTATGTTGAATCTGTCTCTAAAACTGAGAGGCTAGCCAAGCTCTATACTTTGCCTGAACTAGATTAATTAAATAATTAATTTATGTTTTAAAATCGAAGTTAACATTTGTGTGTAGAATTTAGCCATAAAAAAAAGGATTAGCACGGACTAGTTAGTTTTTTTCATTTGCACTATTGTGAAAAACCTTTAGCAGATTTACAATAGGGAATATTAAAATTCAATTACAATACAAAATGTTATGCTAATTTAACTATTGATTCTAAGTATGCAAATGTGTTAAATGCTTGTTAGATAAGTTTCGCCATTCTTGACTTCTTGTTATACTTCTTGTTTGGTTTGACTCGAATTTGTGAAATTTAATGTGGCCATTGAATACAGGATAGTTGAATACCAAAAAAAAAAAAAGGTATACTCCCCTTAATTTCAAATATAAGATCTATTCAAGAGCTTTAGTTTGATTATAAATATAAGGTCACATTTCCTTTTGCCTCTTTTGTAAAATTTTTATTTCCTATAATACCTCTAATTATTAGGATATTTCGATCTCTACGTATTAAATTTTAATCAATAAACAGTTAAGGTGATTTTGAAAAAAAAAATTCCACAAATTCCCTTCATGTTAATTTTTTGACAAAGTACCTTGCCAACCTTTTTGAACTCTATGAATTATTTTTTCCATTTAGTATTATAAAATATTTTTAATTAAAGTCCACTTTTAATAAATTAATTAATTTTTTTATAATAAATTAGAAATAACGTCTTAACAAGGGAAAAAAAAAAAAAAAGAATCCAGTAAACCTATGAAGTGGAGACAAGTTTAAAAGAAGGTTGGATTGCCCATCGTCTGGGTTTGTGCAAAATGTCAGAGATGTCCATCATTGAATATCTTAACTCTTAATCATTTAAAAATAAGCTGCGATTTTTTTTTTTGCCAATAAAATAAGCTGCGATTTAAGTCAGCTCATTCAGTACCGTGCATAGCTAAAATTACAAATAAATTAAACATATTTTTTAACATGTTATAAAAGAATGTTATTGTGTAATAAAAAAATGTTATTTTGTATTAATTTCTTTTCATCCTTAATATAATACAAACTCAACCAATTTCACGTTTATAAAAAAATAACTATATCATTAAAATTATTTTAAAAAATGTAACTTTTAAATTCTATCTTTTTTTGTATTAATAATCATGGTAAATTATTATATGGAGATTCAGAGTATAATAAATAAATAAGGGGTAAAATTTAAAAAAAAATTGCTCTCTCCTTATATTAAGGAATTTTTTCCCCCGAAACGTGCCTTATAATAATAAATGTGTGTGTGTGTGTGTGTATCTTACAAAAACGTAGGAAGAAGAAGAAGAAGCGGAATGGGGGGTAATTTCGAGAATCGATAAAAAGGAAGTACAAAGTGGCTTGATTAAATAGTGCCAAGCCTAATCCTTAAAAATGAGTGGGGGATAGATGGATAAAGACATGAGACTTGGCAATATAATCAAAGGGTAAAGTGGATAAGACGAAGAAAAAGGTGGAGAAAATGGACGGCTGAGATTCGGTCAAAGGCTGCAGGATCTTCATGTTCCATTCCAAGGGGTTCAAAGATGCCAGAGAGTCGGACATTCTTCATTCTTTTTTTTTTTCTTAAATCTTTTCTTTTGTCTGCACTCACCACGTTTTACCAAGCCTCATTTGCCTCATCTAGGGTTTATTATTCACCAAATCATGACTCCACTTTTTTTCTTTTCGAAAGTCATAATTTTTTGTCTTGTTACAAATAACCTTTTGAAGCATATTTCCACTGATCAGAATTTCGGTTGAATTAGATCTCAAACGAAGATGACTTTTTCAAAAACAACTAGTAAATATTGATCCAATTAAAAAAGATGACTCATAACTTATATTCTCTTTATTTAAAAATATAAAATATTTTTAATTTTTTAATATATAATTATTATTTTTTTAAAATATTTCTATTGATAAATAACTTTATATTTATTATAATGTATTTAATAGGAGTAAATATAAAAAGATAAAATTAATTTAAAAATAAATAACTACTTTATTATGGTATAAAATTTAATTAAAAATAACTTATATTTTTAAACAAAACGAGTATAGTAGATAATTTATAAATATGTTTGTAAGTGCTTTTTGGACTTACAGACATGCTCTAACTTTGGTGAGCTCTCACAACCAACTCATCTATTTTTTTCACAATTAAAAAAAATTATCCACAAAAATTTTCTACAATCATATAAAATTAAGATAGAACTTTGTATTAAATTTCTTCCACTGTGATTTAATATTAGAGCCTTAGAGGTCGTAAATTTGTCTGTTGTTTGAGAAAAGCAATAGTGGAGTCTTGTTTTTCATAAGTAACGTTTTGATTGTATTTTTGGTTAAAAGAGCAGTCAAATTCTATAATCACAAGTTTTTGACAAATGACAGTTGGGATGAATTAAAAACAATTGTACCTGACCCATGTAGAATAAATGCATAATCAATCACGAAAGCATTTTGGTCGGTATAAGATATGCCTTCAGTATCCTCCCATTCTAGTTAGATTAATTAATAATTAGGGTTTCATGGAAAATTAGCTTAAGACGGAAATGTCGGGTTTATGATAGAAGAGCGTGATGGGAACGTGTCAGAGTGATTAAAAGAATGGACCAGTCCTTAGGACGAGGAGGGGCCTATAGATCTGAAAATTAGGAATCCTGATAAATGAAGGAATAAAGCTCATGTTTCTCTCCATTTGATTTTGACAATGACAACGACAACGATTTACACTAATTAGCACTCCCTTTGAGACTGAGCTAGATTAACTACCGCTCCTACTCATCCTAATTATAAAGACAAACTTAACTAATTTTGTGATTATTAAAAAAAATATAGTTATGCTTTTAAATTTGTTAAAAAAATATGCAACTTTTTAACTATACATTTCTTTGCAATCAATGGCATAATTAATTAATGGATAAGAATTCAAAGTACTCATGAACAATTTATTGCAATTGTCAATTAAAAAAAAACCAATTCTCATAAATATAATTATACTCAACAAACAAATAAATAAGGGGTTAAATTTTGGGGGGGGGGGGGAATAACAATCCCAACTCTGTCCAATACTAAAGGTCAGGAAGAGTTTTCAAAGTTCGCTCTACAATTAGGAACGAAGGAAGTAGTATCCAGTTTAAGACTGGTATGTAACTGTATTAAAAAAAAAAACTGTGAGAGATAGATTTGTCATCCTTCTGATCATATCTCATTTAACTCATATTAGTCAGCCTACAGTAACACATCGGATGGCTTGGGGAAAAAATTGGGGGTGGGGGGGACATTGAGCAATGCATTATAGGATGCTGTACCAAAACATGTTGAATGAGGCCGAGAGGGAGCGGTGTCATGATCACGTTTATGATTCATAAATGGCACTCTAAAATTTTACAATCATTCATCCAAAAAAAAAACGAAATTACAATCAAGCCATTCTGTTGGGTCGTGGTCAAAATCAATGTCAAAAAGCTTACCCAGAAAAGAACTTGGGGCTACTTGAAAGTTTTCTGCTGAACTTTCTTTTCTGTTATCCAATGGCTGTAAAGGGGCATACTGAGTCAAAAAAGAGTTTGGACTGCTTGGAATTCGGTGCACCAAACCTGAAGAAAGCGAGCGCCAAGGAGAGAGAGAAATAATAATATTACTGCTACTAGAGACACTTTCACAGAAAGAGAAGCTTTAAAATAGAATATACAGAGATGCCATGACTAGTGACTATAAAAGAATCCACATAATATTTATTGTTCTGATAAATTTTTAGTTAAGATTCAGTGCATTAAATCTATGTGCTATGCTCAGTTGTCTTGATTCTAGTATCCTGGACCTCAGTTAATACTGAAGATACTTGTCTTAAAGGATATCGATATGCATAATGGTAAATAATAACTAAATAGTCAATCATGTCACGAAAATCCTGGATAAAATATCTCGTGTTACATAGAAATCGTAACATTTCACATTGTATTCTTTTTCATGTTGTTACTTACTTTTTGCTGTTATTTAATATATTGTAGTATTTTATACCACAATATCTAAGATACTGTGAAATATAAATCAATTAACCATCCTTTTTCAGGTCAGTGAATCCCTCAAAAATGGAAAGAAAAAAGAAGGTAATCTATCTAATATTTAATAACTGTATGCTTAGTCGAGGAAGCCTAGGAATTGGTCATTTCTTTCATGTGAGTAAAACCTTTACATAAAACAATGAAAGAAAAAGACGAAACAAGGAGCATCAAATCATTAAAAGGAAGGTGGAGCTTCAGTATAGCTTGCCTTTAGTCCTTCTGCGCTGGATATTAAGTCATGAGATGCATTTCATGACAAAACTGGACCCAGATACTTGGCAAAGCACTGCCACTGCAGCAGTTACAGTCCAGGCAAAAAAAAGAAGAAGAAGAAGAAAAGAAAGTAAAATGTGAAAATGATATGGCAGAGGACCTTGCACTGCAAAAGTTATGCACTGTATAATTGAAAAAAGAAAAAGGAAAAAGAAAGGGGAAAAAAACAGAGTTCAGGTCATTAGATGGCATGGTAATGATAATGAGACAGTGCATGTATGTATCATGTTGGCAAATGATATATCCCGGACTATTCAATAGATTCATATGAACACAATGTGCAACGAGCAAAGGACAAGCAAAGGGAATATGTATTGTTTTTGCTTGAAACATATTAGGACTATGTTTGGATAACATCTAAGCTGGTCCAAACCCCAATTTGGATGTTAAAAACTCATTATAAAGCTTGAACGTACGTTTGGTTAAAAAATAGTCAAAAGCACTTTTGGTCTTGAAGCTCGTCTACATAAAAGATGAAAATATGAGCTTTCAGCTTCAGTCGTAAGTAAAATTAAAAAACCTATCCAGACATAAATAGCACCATAGTTGACTTTTACTCTAACTTTAGTTTATAAATCTCAGTTTATTATAACTTCAGTCTTGCAGCTTCTAATCCAAACACACCCTAGAAGTTCTGTGAGAATCAGCTACTATTATTTTCCACTAACCTTAGCTTGCCAGCTCCATGTGAAGGTGACAGACCATAAACAAAGGAACTAGTTTCCCGTAACAAGGATATTGCTTGTCCTAGATTTCTAATAAAGAAAAGGAAATAGCAAGAGTTAAACAGTATCGCATCTCCTACATCTGCTTTGTCCTTCATACGGTGTCCTAAGCTGCAATTGCTTCAAAATTGTACATGACCAACAGAGACAGTAATTCAGTATCCAATGCTATGACTACAAATTGATTCGTGCACATAAATATTGAAAGAAGAAATTATCTGGCCTTGTTCAAAGAAAAAAAGAAAAAAATTGAGCCTCAGCATTCAAGACTGCCAAAAACAACAAACTGGGAATTTCTTCAATAATGTGCTGAACTCGGAAGAGAATGAGATCGCAACTAGAAAACTCACATATGGTACTGGCATTGTAAGGTGCACAACAAAGTCAATTCTTAGTACGTAGTGGAGTTTAAATGAGTGAAGTAACTTGCTCTCGCTCCTTAGATGTCAATTCCTTAGCAAGAACTGTTAACCCCTCCACGAGCAGGTAGACAGATCAAATACTCTATGGATCCATATAAAGCCTGCACGCAATGAACATTTAAAAAAAATAATGATAAAATTAAGACCACAGTAGTTTAATGACAGATTGACAGTACAATAACAAACAAATTGATCAAGGAAAATAAAAAAAAAAAACATATATATAAAGCGGAAGAACTCAGATGATGAGTTAAATAGTCTGACGCTCTGGGAAAATCTTATCATGTGGTTAAATTAACTTCGTTCCAATGTGTTCGGACTTGTAAGGACCCTAAAATGATATTATTTTCATCATAAACAGAAACAATGCAGGTTACCGGAGGCTATGACATAACGTCATTTTTTCCTCCCAAAAAGGGATTAATAGGGAGGTTAGGCAACACAATGTTCAAGAAAAAATTGAAATCAAACGGAACTCAATTTACCGAGCATCGACTATTCCGCCGTTTTATCTCTACTTCGCCGGCGACAAGATTTCATCCGCTGCACTCCGTAGCAGAGAGAAACGACTCAGCCAAGAAGGTGGGCCATCCTGGCCCAGTATGTGGATGGGCTTGAACATGGGCATTAATAATTTATTTCGGAGTGGTTTTCATAGCACCATTTGCGGTATTAAAACAAAATATAAGGAAAGATGGTTCTAATATTATAATTGTAAATTTACATAAATATTAACCGTCCTAAAATTTATTGAATGAGTACTCCTGATTAACAAAATTTCCACAAACTTGAGACGTGTTTGGATATACATTAAGAATCGATTTGAGGTCCAAAATTATGATTTTAAAACATCTTATCTAAACACTCAATTTTTCTAAACTTAGTTCGCTTTCTGAAACCTAGTTGGTATAAACTTTTTTTCCCTCCATTTGAGAATCAATTCTCATCATTTAAGCATTTTTCATTTCCCCCATCTTTGCAATTGATTTTGAAAAATTATTCAAATATTGTCAATTATCAAGATCAATTTCATAAAATATTATACAAACATCATCATGTTTTCTTCATCAATTTTTTTCTATAATTAATTTTTATCAATTGAAATCCAAATACACCCTTAATCGATGATATAATATAATGGTATCGGATAATTTATGTAACTGACCTCATCTAGTAGGATAAAACTATTTCTCGTATTCAATTTTATTTATTATATAAGGGTGCAAAGCTAGTTATTATCACTATCAGTAGCTAAGAAGAAATTATACTCCCATAAATAATTGCCTTGAAATATCTGAGACCTACAAGATCAAATTTCTACGATGGAGAAATTTTTGAAATGCTTGAAGAAAAATTGGCCAGTAGGGATTTGAATATTTTGAAATGCAACAAAAGCCGACTAAACTCTCGTCCTAGTTTTATCTCGACGTTACTCCGATAACCGTGGAAGAAGATCCGTTAAGACATGCTTAAAGGATGCGCTTAGTGTCAATGTGACACAAAGATCACTTAGCAATATTACTTTGTGATTTAGAAAAAAAAAAATTCTAGACAAGATCAAACTAACTTGGTTTATATTTTAACTAACACATTGAAGTCAAAAACAAATAGGTTCAAATTCAAACATTTAAGATTTAACTTTTTTTGAAATAGAAATATAGAAAATTCAATATATAATTGAGACTCTTCAAAAACTGAAGGATGAGAGATAGAAAATGAGACAAATCCTAAATCTGCAAGGCTTTTCTCTCACTAAAAATTATAAAATCAGACTTCTCTGCCCCAACAAACCCCCCTCCAAAAAAAAAATTGAGAATGAAAACAGTCCATTCGCTAGGTGGTATATGGAATGAATCTAATTATTTAGGATTCCACAGCTCTCCTATTGTGCTGAATAAGCTGAAGCTTCAGATATGGGGCTTTAGCATCAGAATAACTCTTGTTTCAGTCTTTCTGACTTTTGAACAACAAAAGTTGAGTTTCAAGTCAATCAGACAATCATAGCTCCCTTTGCTCTTAAAAAAAAAAAAAAAAAGGTCAATCAGAGCCCCCCACCCCATTTTCCACCTTTTGAAAATTGATGCTGACACCCCATTTCCATTCGAAAGGAAAAGGAGAACCAAAGACCCACTCGGGGGATTTTTTTTAGGTTACAGTTTCACTGCCATTGAATTCTTGATGTTAAGGACTTGTTTGATTGCGTTTTCATCTTTTGTTTTTTAAAACTATTTTATAATATAATTTTTGAAATTGTTTTTTAAAATAGACAAAATGAACTAACAAATATTAGGTGTAACAAAGACAAATTAAAATTTAAACTTCCGTTGAAAGGTGTGCTTGAATTTACTGCCCCGCCATGTCTCAAATAAGATTAATTCTAATAAGATAATGCTATATGCAATTAAAAACAAAATAAAAATTTGTTTAATTATGTTAACTTAAAAAAAATTAGAATTAAATAAAATCAACGAATAGTATCAACTTATAATAATAATTGATCAACTCACCTGTAATTTTTAATAATTAAATGTAGTGTGTTTTTGAAAATAAGAAAAATGAAAAGAAAATTTTAAGACATTTCTACATTTTTGTTTTTAAAAATAAAAAACAATAACAGTTTTGAAAACAATTAAATCTAAAATACTTACTTAAACTGATTTTTTTTCCCCAAAAACATAAAACAATTTTTGCAATCAGAAATCAAACAAGCAAGCCCTTATTGACGTACTTTCAAACATTCTTCAGTAACATATAACCAGAAACTCATGGAAGAAAACCTTGCTGAATACTCTTCCACGCTCAGCTTCTAATTCCAATTTTATATAAGAATGTCAATGAACAGACACGCAAGAAGCTTATGGAGAAATGTTACAGAGAATAGCAAAATTGTTTAACAATAGTATCTCAATGTCAGCTGGAAAATTTCAGGCAAGCTTTTGGCACTATATGACGTTGATGTTACATAGGATCTGTATAGCAATTTCTTGCAGAAAAACCCGCAAAAATATCAATCAGAACAGTCATATACAATTGGAAATCTTACTCCAACAAGATTCTGGCTCGTCAGCAGTGCAAGTTGGCCGGAAATTCCAAGTGCAAGAAATTAACTTTTATTTACTCTCTCTTTTAACCATTCAACAAAAGTGTCAAGGATCACTGGCCAGGCTAGCGTGGAGTCATAACTTTCAAGTTCTGAAAAGCTTACCTGGCAGCAACAAAAAGTCGTAACATTTTCCCACGTGTTAAGGCTTTGCCTACCGTAATCAATCAATTCTACAAGCATCCATTTATGCATAGACAATGATATTTTAACAGACACTTAATTTTTCTCATTCTATTTATAAATCACTTCTAACATATTTTCTCAAAAATCAAAAAAAACCTTTAACATTATTAATTTTGTCTTGAAATTTAATAAAATTTCACATCCACCCTCTAACAAAGATTAAAAAAAAAACTTTTAATAATTTTTTTAACATTTAATAAGGGAAGAAAGGTAAAATGAGCATGGAAAATAGTGAAATGCCTTAAAAATAAGATCAAAATTAATCTTCTCTCTCTGCCCTATAAATACTATAGTACCAGAGGGAGTAAGTTTTAGCAGAGACCGCATCTGCAGATAACTAACATTTAAGTCCTTGTTTGTAATTGACTGGCTGAAATATGAATGGAGGAAAAAGGCCAAGTAAAATATTGAAAAGAAAATCATCGCGGAAAAGTAATCCTGGGTTTTCCATGAAAAAATAAACTACCATTTTTCACACTTGGCCAATATCTTATAGCTTACAGGGAACCCTTGCTAACCCCAGATAATAAACTCACTGGTGAGTAAAAACCGCCCGTTATTAAAATGTGGGGAAATGTCATTACAACAGCATTACCTCCTTAAAGAAACGGTAAAAACTACTCCATTGATCCTGGTTTATAGCCCTGTAATCATTTTGTATCTGCCACAAAATTAGCTCAGCTGTAAGAAAATAATTCCTAAAAAATATATCTTGGCACTAAATAGCTCTTGATCAACATCTCCTGACAGAGTACTAATATAATGTGCACTATACGAGGTTTAATAAGGAGAAAACTCTTCTGTCCCTAACTTGCCATATTACAAATCTTCAGAAAAAAAAATCCTCAGAGCATGCATATAATTTTAAATCATGAAGCACACAGACAAAATAACCGCTCAAGATAAAAGACTAAATACTAACCATGAAGATTACAATTAAGAATAAACAGATCAATATCTTCCGAGAAAAAAAAAAAAGGAGCATGAAAAAAGATGTTACCTACCTTCAGATACTCAATTAATAAATTGACCTGAGTAGGAAATTGGGGTCCGAGAACAATATTCAACAATTCACAGATGGTCTCAATATCTACGCTCCTTTGCATGTCCTCTGAAACAGTTATTTCATGTTTTATCAATTTAGAGACATAAGAGTTACAAAAAAATTAGAGACATGAGAAGTTAAGAACAACAAGAGTGAGCCCCGTGCATATGCAAAGGGTCCGATATGAGCCACAATGCCTCACCGTTCAAGATTTCGCAAACAATGTGACTCCCCAAACATTTCATATTTTATGTTTAAATGAGTCTGAACTTTGAGTACCTGTTAGGCAGTATTGAAATGCATAGATATAAAACTCCTCAAAGTAGCCTGATTTCATCACCTAATCAGGACATGTAAAAGAAATAAATAAAAAAAACCTTTAATGGCTGGCCTAAATCAGAATGTGAGTGGACAAAAATTAATTTTAAAGTATAAGTGAAAAAATACCTCTTGATCCAACCCAAGGACTGATTTTTTTAATTTAGGCAGGGTGTCAACCCCTAAGCATTTGAGGCCTCTTCGCCACTCATCCTATTAAATGAAAAAGGTAAACATGACCCATATAGATACTATTTTAATACTATTATGATGTAGAAATTCAAGCAATTTAACTGAGGATTAAATGGCAAATTGGCCCCTAAACTATCGATCTAAGAGTGTTTGAGACTCTAAACTCATTTTTAGTATAATGTTTCCCCTTCAACTTTTGAAAATAGTGCAATTTAACTCTTACTGTTAATAGAAAATAACTTTGACTATTAGTTGACCAAAGCAGGATATCAAAAATTGTAGAAAATGACCAAAAAATTACAATAGAAGACCCAAAAATTTAAGACCAGGACAAAAAAATTACATAAAAGGACCAAGAAAATTTTATTGGTCCTTTTTATAAGCTTTTGGGTCATTTTCCAGTCAAACTAATGGTCAAAATAAACTTTTGTTAACAGTAAGGGCTAGATTGTACCCTTTTCAAAAGTTAAAAGGGAACATTACACCAAAAATAAGTTTTAGAGTTTCAAACATTCCTAGACCTATAGTTTAAAGGCCAATTTACTCTTTTACCCTATTAACTAATGACTACTAGGCAAGTGGCATCTAAAATATCAATACTAGTATAAAAGAAATTATTGTTTACCAAGTAGAATGCAATGGATACAATAGAGAAGACAAACTAGACATCCTAAAAGGTAAAAGAAACATCAACATAAAAGTTCCTTCCAATCAAATTTAATAGCCCCAAAAAGATTTCCCCCACAAATATCAACACTGCAATGTTTAGGGACTCATTTTATTATTTATTATTGTACTTTTTGCAATGAAAACTTATCATCAAATAAATACAAACGATGTCCCATACACTATACAGCACCCCTCAATAGATCAACCTAATTTCTCTTCAAATGATGCTAACAATAACCACATTTGCCAACATTGTTGGAAAGGCTCATCTAAATTCTAAAATAGATTTCCCATTGACTCTCTTTCACTACTATTATAGTTCCGTAATATGAGACAAGTTTATGATTTGGGCTCTCATGTAAAAAAAATATATATATAAATATTTGACAGAGAACAAAGGTGCACATACACTCAAACATCCACACATAATGAAGAATTACAAATCTGCTTGCTTATCACAACATTCAGTAGAGTGAATACCAAGTACAACTAAATGACTGAGAAACAATGCTTACCTTAGAAAAATAACCCTGCTTTTCAGATTTCATTTTCCTGGTAAGTTTATTTACTAACAAATGTCAAAACACCAGTTTGTTATAGAAAAACCACAAAAAAAAAAAAAAACACTAGGTGACATACCAAGCAAGCATCAGAATTTTAATGTCTGTATGGAGCACACCTAAATCTGTACAAAGGGACTCGATTCCTGCTGGACTACAAACCAAAATGTGAAAAGTTACATCAATTGGAGTCACATAGAAGCATATCACATCCAAACAAGCAATTATATGTATAACAATTCACAGATGGCCTATACTATTCAGTACCCAAAACATCATCCATCAAAAGACAGACTTCATTTCCAAATTAAATGTACACACTCTTCCAGTTTTGTTATATTTGGCTGGAACAAAGGAAACAATATACAAGCTACAAATATATATATAATTTTTAGAATAAAAATTTGTGGATGAAAATGAATGTTTAATGTTCTGAATTTTTTTCACTAGAAAAAGGTCAGAGATAAATTTGCTTTATAGAGTAGAGACAGCAAAGTTGAAGTGCTTAAATCCTAAATAATTTTAACTGCCATAGTTTTTCCCCAGTCTGGCAGTTTCTCGCCAAAAGAAAATGCAGATATTCACCAAGTCCCATAATGAACAGACAAGCAGATGCCCATAACAAGATACCACTACTAAAGAATTATCCTTTGTAATAAATTAGGCAAGAGTAGCATTCCGAATCCTGTTATTGCTCTACAAACTGTGGATCTATGATGGAATGGGCTTAAGACTTGGGGGGCGAGGTGTTGCGTCATTTTAGCAGCATTTCTTGCAAGCAATAAGAGGCTACTGTCCACCAATTTGGAAATTAAAATGACAGTTATTATTATCTCTTCAACCAGTTAGTTAAAAAAAAAATAACCACATCACCAGTTTAAAGACTTCAAATTTACAATCTTGCCAGAAAGGGAAATGGATAACATTGGATAAATAAATAAGTTTACAGAAGCTTCCTTCCTTTCCTCATCATGTCATGCGCAAAAAGTAAAACAAAATCAAAAGGGTGCTAAATATAAGCGAGACATCTCACATCATTACATCACTCAGTCGGAAATATCAAAGTATTCAGAAACAGAAATATTTCTGTGAGCTACCAGACATAAATGACTGATAGAATTGCTTGACCAAGCATGCACTAGGCATTTGCTCTAAGTGATCACCCACACCAACCACCTACCTTTTTCAGTCAGAACCAACGACAGTCATATTAAATATGCAAGGCTCCAACTTTCAAGTAATCAACAGACTATAGATTAAGGCAGTATGCAAACTTCTCAATTCTAGATAATGAAAAAAAATGTAATAACCTGAAAATGACCCAATTAGTATCATACTTACTCAATCAAATCCATTGACTTGTTTGAGTATCTATCAAATAGGTGATCTACTTTGTTGATTTGCTTGGTTCTTGATTTCTTGGATGCTGAATAACATCATGAAATAAAACCATTAGTTTAGAGAAGTCAGCAACTTGGGAGCAATGATTACAGAAAGAAGGAAAGATACAGAGTAGAGTAACATTTCTACGATAATGTCAAACAGCTCGAACAGTCATGCAAGAATTAATGGCTTCAATTCACTCATATTCATAGCCTTTGCTTAATCAAGACTTATGATTCAGCATGATAAAATATGAACATACTTATTGATAGAATTTATAAAAAAAATCTTGACTATACATGCAGGTAGAATGAGTGTGAAAATACATCAATCAAACAAAATCACTGCCAGAAAATGTTAAGAAAATGTAAGCAATGTAAGCCCTTAATCCCTTCCAGAAAAACCTCTAGTAGAATCACCAAGGTAATAATTCCTCTCAGATCACCAAGTAACTACATGTATTGAGTAACTCCCAACAATACCTTTTCCATGTACTCAGTAACTGACCGGCCTGTTCAACAAATATATCTATATATATGAATGGCATTTTTTATCTTAAACTACTCAGATTTTGTATGGGACTATGGGAGACAATTCAAGAACACCACGGTAAGTGTTTGTAAATATCTGGGATACAAAATTGGCATGCACACGCTAAAAACATGAGTCCACAAGTTCTTTTAGATATTAAAATTCAGTGTAAATAATTTTGATGATTGCTTGACATTTAAATAACATCATTTCCATTGGATCATTTCCAGTGATGAGCCAATGTAGATTACTTTGGATGACCATCACAAGTAAATGATCATGACATAGGAAACGACTATCAATTTTGGGGAAGAAGCCTTATTAGTTCCCACGACAAAAATGGTTCAAAAAAATTCTCTAGTACAAACAAAATCAGAGAACTAAAACATCGAGGATGTATATGGAAAGTTCAAAGTTAAAAAAAAAAGATTGGGGATTTTTAACTTGCATAAACTGTTAAGAGAAAGAACTGAGAAGAAGCAGTGTGCATGCAGCAAATGTAATATAATGTAACACATAATGGATATTGTTTTGCAAACGAATTTAGAAGGTAGATGTTAAATGAAGATATTATTTAAGAACGTCGGTATCGGTAGCTCCCACTATTTGACCCAAAGGGGGAACAATGACAAAGGACCAGGTCAAATGACAATTAAAGATGGGCACACCCTTTTCCCCGTAGCCAGATAATGGAAGCCAAACTTGCTATGTAAGCGACTTAATAGGACACTGTACAAACCAATTTCAACTTATATTATAACACTAAGAACCCCGGCCTTTCTTTACCATCATTTTAAAAGATTCGGACGTCGGACAACTGCACCATAAATAAAAGTTCAGAATGTTCACTGTACGGCTGCTAGAACGTATCTCCCAATAATTCTCAAGATAAAGTATCCAGGTCTTTGTCGTAAAGAAACACTCCTTCCACAGTAAAACTCATATCTTTTCATCCTTTGAGCTTCGCATTAACACAATTACACAAACAATAACTCAAGCTTTTATTCTCGTCAGGTATTTTTATGATATTAATTGGAAAGAATGACTCGAGTGTCACATCTGGAGTAAGGGACCCAGAAATTTCTATGGACTTCAGCCATCCAAACGCATGAGCTATCTTTCGAGCATTGCCCTACCATAAAAACACATTAGTATCATCCTCCGACGATTTAATCGGAAAGCAACAATCCTGTTCCGGCAAACGCGACCATTACCATCAAGAATCACGGAAGAACGTTAAGGTCGCAGGACAACGAAGAAAATAAAATCCTAGTCGATATAGAAAACCAAAAAAAAAAATCGATATCTCGATCAGGACATGGAAGGGGAGCGAATACCCAAAATTTGAAAACTTGGAGGATCTTCGAGGGAAAAAAACGTAGACCAGAAAAGAACGAGGAGGGAGAGAACAAAAGAATTGAAGTACCGGGAGAAACAGAAAGATCGACATCAGCTGATGGGGCGGCTTTTCTTTTTGATGGCCGAGGCATCTTCGTAATGTGGTATAGGACTGGGAAAAGACGGTGCGTTTAACCTCTCAAATCGGTGACTGAATCAGAATCCTTCCAAATTGTACAGATAAAAACCCTATTCGGAGAGAGAAGACGACGAGGGAGGATCGGAAGATGGAAGGTTTAAGTGAGGTTTTATAGCTTTGGAAATGACAATGCACCTGCTAGGATAAAAGCGGCGCCATTTCATCTTTCCCCCATTTTCCTTCTGCCTTGGTCCTCCCAGCAAAAATCAAGTTATATGCTTTTGTAAAAGCAAACAAATTATATACTGAAAAATGGATTTTTCTTTCATTATGCAGCCGTTATTGACCGGGATGTATGGATTTAATGCTACCAATTAATTTCAAACAACTGCGTGTATTTTTTTTAAAAAATAACTCCATCAGCAATCAAAAGGATCATTGGTCATGTTAAAATTATATTAAATCATGTTTGTATTTGATTTTTTTATTTTAAAATAAATTTAGTCCTGAGAGTTTATCAAAGCCTAAACATGTTTTTAAGCTTAAAAATGTTTGAAAAGATACTTATAGGTCATCCTCTAATGAAGTTATCACATTGATATTGATAATAAGATTCAAACCACGACTTTTAAACCAAAATTTTCATTAACTAGGCTAGCTTTTGTTACTCTTAAATTATTTTTATATCATACTCAAAATATGCGTGTAAATTATGATTTACAATGGTTCTCAGATTATTTCATAGATAATGAGAGAGGACACGTGAATAGTAATATAAACACTCTTCCACCCGTGTTTGTGGCGGTGGGCAGAGGCAGAAATCACAGTGAATAAAAACGATAAAAATATAATAGATTGCTTCCACTATTTGAAGCTGTTTGGTTATTTAAAAATGATAAAAATATAATAGATTAATGAAATAAAAATAAAAAGAAATCATCAAAATATGGAGGGAATAAATCAATCATGTAGGTGGAAGGGAGATGTAATTTAATTTATGAAATCATTAGACATGATTAGTGATATTCATAAAAAGTATGATGATTTTTACGTTTACCCATAAGAAAAAAATATCAATGGAAGTGTGCAATTAACTTATCATGCTAAAATAGAAATTTTATTTCTATTTCTTCAAACTAATCTGCTCTATCTTTTCTAGCAGTTGAGTGTCTTCTTCCTATAATATATCGTGTTACTTATTACTCGTGAATGGTGACACCCGTGGACGAATATCCATGCTTTCATTCTTTCTCGCTGATGGCAGGGTGGTCTTCTAACTCTTCTCCCTCCATTGATGGGAGAGAGATGATGATGTGAGGGTTGGGGGTGAAGTGGAAGGCCAGATTTAAAATAAAATATGAAGTAGAGAGGTCAAAATCCATTTTAGTATTTTTTTGTGACTGAAAGCTGTAATTTTCTTCAAAGGGCCATTGAATTGAGGTTAGGGAAAGCATCCTTTCCTTCCTTGCTTTCCCTGGACTTGTCCTTGATGAGGACGACTTGACATCCAAGGGCAACAAAAACCTCTGCATCTAGTCTAAGCAATTAATTACGAACTAAGATTATGTTTTACTCTCCACATGATATAGATTTACAACAAAATTTACAAGTTACAAACTTTAATTCAAGATAATTATTTATTTTTTAATGAAAGACAATACTGCTTTTTCACAGCAATTTTGAAGCGATCCATCCAGTTGGCTCGAGAATCTGCCATTGATGTGTTCAAGATTTGATCTCAATTAGGATCTAGTTGATTGGTTTAGAGAAACTTGATCCATTTCTTGCCCCACGTAATCAAATCCACACTTTTCTTTTCAAATTATTCATTCTAATGATTCTTGCTTCTAATCAATCACCACTATGCGTTATCATGCTTTATTTTAGTCTCATTCACAATCTGATTCAACTGACACACGCGCCAATACATGTAAACGGAGAATTAAGGGCTGTAGATCTGGAGCTTGCACGCAAACGCCCAAGCTTTTCTAATGCGAAAACAGAACACAATCATAAGTGGCTTAACGTGTATGGCCTATATATATATATATATATATATATTTTTTAAAGAAACCATGTATGGCCTGCGGGGACATCAAGTAGTGTCTTGTACAGTAGTCAGATTCTTTACCATAAATAACTTTTTTTTTTTGGCCGATACCATAAATATCTTACTCATGCTTTGTTTTAAGAGAGAACCAAAGACAAAAAGGGCGGAAAGAGAAAAAAAGGGAAGAAAAGAAAAGGGTGTAATTACTCTTACTGTTGGTGATTTGGGGCAGCTTGTTTCAGTTTTTTTAATGAAAAAATCATTTATTTTTAAAAATTAATTTTATGAAATTTAGTTTGCTTATTTAACTTTTAAAAATAGTCAACATTTAAGAAAATATAACTTTCTAATTATTTTTGAAGTTATTTAAAAAAATAATCTAATGAGATAAATATAAAAAATGTCATAAAAATACGGAGATAAATGAAAATACTATAAAATTTTAAAATAAATAAATAATAAAATATTTGTATACTAGAAATTCATAAATATATCATAAAATCCAAAGACAACGAAATAATATTTTTTTGTTATTGTAAATATATCATAAATATTTTTTTATAAAACCTATACAAAATAAATTTATATTTTTATAATCGCCAAACTATTTAAAAATTATTTATTTTTTTTAATCTCAAACAATCGGTCAGTATTCATTTAGTTTTATTTAGAGCATGAAATGTAAATTAAAATTTGATGATATCATTTCATTTAAATAACCATTACATTCAGATTCTTAATCATTTAAACTTGCGAATTTTTATTTTGATTTTAATTTAATTAGACGGGGATAATTTGGTTAACTTTTAAAAATAATTTATCTGTCACAAATTAAATTAAATACCATTTAAGTTTAATTTAATAAATACCATTTAAGTTTAATTTGGTTATAGAGCCGATTATTCGGGTAGATCCTGACAGGTTAGTTCGAACTTGCTTGAAGAAATTTATGGCCAGGCTTTGAAAAATTATGATTTTTTTTATGTTTGGGCCAAGCTTGATCGAGTTTGGGCTTGGCTCGAATACTCGATTAAAAAAATTTATTTTTAAAAAATATATAAAATATAATAAATATTAATTAATTTTTTAAGTTTTAAATCATTTTATGTTAAAATATCATATATTTGAGTCCTATATATTATTTAAATATCAAAAATATATATTTTATATTTTTTATAAAATAAAATAATTAATTTTAAAGTTAAAAATTTAATTAAAAATAATTTTTAAAATAAAATTTGGATATTCGGGCCGCCTGAAACTCAAAGAAATTCAGGTCGAGCTTAATTATTTGGACTTTTTTGAAAATCAGGCAAGCTTGAGTACGAGCTTATTCGGACTGAGTTTGAATAGACCCACCCTGCTTGAATTATTAGTTCTAATTGATTCTTTTGTTTTTGGGTACATAGTTTTCGGCCCAAAAGGGAGGGAATATAGATTGTTATAAAATTTTATAATTTGCCTCTTTTCTATGCCAGACTTAAATATCCAAAAAGCCTAAGCCCATTTGGCCCAACCCATCAGACAATGTCTGACCAAACAAAAATGGTCCCCCGCAGGCGCCTTCTTAATGTTAAAACTAGGGCTACAGCTTTCGGTGTTCAGCTTCCGCAGCTGCTGGTTTATCGTCATCGATCTTCTCCAGCCGAAAATGGTAATCTATTGCTCCTTCCGTGTCATTGTTACTTTTCGTTTGTTCTGTCTGCTCTATTCAGGAGTCCTTGACTTGAGCTCTTTGATGCGTAGCCTTCACACAAGACCTTCAGGATCAAGAAGAAGCTCGCGAAGAAGATGAGGCAGAATAGGCCCATTCCTTACTGGATTCGAATGAGGACTGACAACACCATCAGGTTTGGAGACCTTTGGTTTCCCTCGTGAATCTTTGATTATTGTTGTGGACTTGGGATTTTCTTGAAAACTTCTCATGGTGTAATTGGTGTTTGTTCAGGTATAATGCTAAGCGCAGGCACTGGCGCCGCACGAAGCTCGGGTTTTAAGATGGATAGAAATGTGATTACTGGTTAAAGCCGTTTTTATTATTTATATATGGTGTTGAAAGATTGTAGCTTTAACCATGTGTCGACACTAGCGGGATAATGAGTTGAGTAGAGATTTTGACGGGTGTGTTTTTCCGTAATTTATTTTTCACTTTGGAATAACTTTGCGTCTATTAACGTGAAATTTCGGGTTTGATCTGCACTTTTTATGATTCATGGAAGTTCTATTATATTTTGTGAATGAGTTGGCTGGATCAGTGGCTAGTAGCGTTGTACGCATATAGGAATGTTGGTTTTTTCAATGGATTAGCGCATCTTTTAGTTGAAGGGTTATTGAAAGTAACTTCGGCCGACCTTTGCGCGTGTACAAGAGAGGAAAGTCAATGTCTTTAAAACCCTGTCGCTTGAATGGCGAGTGCTTTAAGTTGTGTTTGATTCGGCTGATGCAATAGAATTTAGTTCTACCGCACTACATGTATACTTGCAATAGTTGTTATTGTGACTTGTGAGGTTTCGCTTGTACAATTGTACAACTAAGCAGATACATGATTGTCATTCCCCGGATAATCTATGTTCCTGGATAATTCCTGGCGTTGAAGCTGATTATTTAGATTGCCTTGTATGGAGATTGACATGAGTCACTATTTATAACTTATAAATAGTGTGACTTTAAATGGATTTTATGTCATATATTGATATATTAATGATCTTAGGATTAGTCGATATTTCATTATGATATAGACAGGAACTAGAACTCAGTACATTCTAGGCAGTCAAGAGAGGTTCAAGTTGAAGGTACTAGACGCAAATGTATAGTCATAGAATCACATACACTGGGTAATTTAGAATGTACGTTAGGTAGGTGTCTGGAAAGAATATATTGATAATGGTTGAATGTTTCATAAAATGGCTAAATTAGGTTTTGACACTTTTGAGGGTTAGAAGCATGATTCTGTTCTTGTTACAAAGCTGGCGTATAAATTCCTTATCCGTTGGAGATTGTGCCTTTGTTTGTCGAAGGAAGCAAACTCCTTACAAGACCTTAGAGTTAGAGTGCTAAGGACAAATGGTCCATCACTCCATGTTATATAGGATAGTTCATGTCTTCATGATTTTATTGTCTTAATTTGTTTGTAGGCCTGATATTTCATTTCCTTACCGGCTTACACACATAACTTTATGAATAATTATAGGCCATAATTTTAAGAATTTGCTACTTCTGCTGTATCTTCTCTGATAGACTGATTCTTTGATGCCTGGAGGGTTTTGGTCATCTCTTGCATCCCCTGATCCGTCATAGAGAGAACTTGGAGACGATGTGAGGAGGGGTTAAGAACTTCTCAATACGTGTTAACCTTGCATGCTATGAATGGTGGATTGTTCATTTTTCTGCATAATGAGGAGCAGCCAAACGAAAATGCGAAAATTCCTATCCTTGTGTGCTGTTTCAGTACATGTTAATGTAAATGGGGTTGCATGATGCATGGTTATTATTATTATTATTATTATTATTATTTTGTTGCCTCCTACTAAAAACTAGATTCGTTAAGAATTGTAATTGTAATATTACCATAATCTTTGTTGTCATGGTCAATTATTATTTAAGGAGAATTACGATGACGTCTCACATGAAAAAAATCAAAATTAATTATTATAAGGTTTAGTGATAATTGAATTAAGTTGTGTTGTCAATCTTCTTAATTCAATTGTCAATATATTTTGTAATAGTTAATTTTTTTATGAAATTTCAATGTAATTTTTTCTATTATTTATTCCTTTACGCAGGAGAATAACAAAGAGGATATAGTTAAAAGGTTGGAGGCATTGTTTGTATAATGTACTAGAAAAACGAAAGAGGCATTAACACGTAGCATTTTTCCAATATGAGCCAAGTCATATTAGTAAAAATCAATAATGGAATAGAAATTATATTCAAGTTATTGAAAAACTATACCAATTATTGAATGGGTCAATTATTGGTTAAAGAGTTAATGATTAAAATTATAATCAAGCTGTGGTTAAATTAATTATAAATAAAATATTTTATTAAATTGATTGAGGTATTTATTGATTCAATCATGCAGATTGATTTGAATTTTCATGTTATGACTATAAATCATGCCCAACAAGTTTATGAAGAATAGTTTTCTGAAGTCAACAAATATGAGTCACTTAAAAAATGAGAATGTAGATCAAACTTCAGGTAGATCATGACCTTCAAGAGGAAAAGAACAATTCCATTTATGGAAACCAATATTATCTTCTGTATTTGATCTTATAATTTTTCATCATAATTTTTATAAAAATCATTTAAAAAAGAGATCCTGAAATTATTTGTTGGTCCTAAAAATATTATTGAAGGATTTAAGAAATTTAGTTTTTCTGTTAAATAAAAAAGATTTCTGATCCTCGGCAATTTTGTTTGATTTACAACTGTAATTTGACTTTCTTCTTATCATTCGTATGTATACAAAACCTTTAATACCATATTTTAAAATATTATTCATATGAATAAAATAAAAAATATCTACAGTCAACCTTGGCAGAAAATTCAAACATTTGTTTAATTAATCTAATCAGTAATAAAGCTATAACATTACCGAATACCCCCCCCCCCCAAAAAAAAGGCGAAGCTGTAACATTACCACCACCAAAAAAAAAAAAAAGAATTACGTACTTATTATACTTTTGTTTTTAATTATCCATCCTCTACATTATTGTCAGAATTTGTAACCAATATTTTGACTCTCTCTCTCTCTCTCTTCTCTCTTTAAAGGAGTTGTTATGTTACACATAAGCATGTAGGCATTAAGCTGGTAAAAATCACTGGCTTAAAAATCTGCTTCCTTTCATCGGCATGACATTTAAAACCAGCCAGAGAAAAACTGAATGGCAGAGACCAAGCTGAATTAACATAGCTGTGCAAGAATAAAAGCCGAATAAAAAGGTACAGCAATCTACGGAGAATCAGTCATTTGCCTGTAATGTCTCTACCCTGTATTTCATATAAATCCGAAGAGACTCTCAGATAATTTTGCTGTTACCTCCATCAGTCTCCCAATCATTTCCTTCTCTCTTTCTTTCTGGCTCTACCAGGGCTTATGCCATAAGCCCTCCAGGAGTTCTCAGAAAGAAGGAGAGATTGATCATTTGTTTTGGGACAAATCATCATGGCTGATGACTTTTCTTTTGAAGACCTCAAGAAGGAGAATGTGGATCTTGTAAGCAGAAGGAAGAAAAAACCCATACCTACATACATACATACATATGAAATAAACTTGTGCTAAAAATGTTGTGTTGAATTGTGCAGGAAAAGATACCAATTGAGGAAGTATTTCAACAGCTAAAATGTTCAAGGGAAGGTTTGTCTTCAGAGGAAGGAGGGAAAAGGATCCAAATATTTGGCCCTAACAAACTAGAAGAGAAGAAAGAATGCAAGGTCCTTAAATTCTTGGGATTTATGTGGAACCCACTTTCATGGGTTATGGAGTGTGCTGCTGTCATGGCTATTGTGTTGGCCAATGGAGGGGTAATGTATTTGTATACTACATATCCACGTCACGCTTTATGTTCATTTTATTTGTGTTATTTTAAGCAAATCTTTTAAACAATGCAGGGCAAGCCCCCAGATTGGCAAGACTTCACTGGCATTGTAGCGCTGCTTATAATAAACTCAACCATAAGTTTCATTGAAGAGAACAATGCAGGCAATGCAGCAGCAGCTTTAATGGCTGGCCTTGCACCCAAAACCAAGGTTATCAACATTTTTGGGCAAAACACTCATTTTCATGTTCACTAGCTAAAGAGAAGGAATTGGTTTTTTTTTTTTTCTTCATAGGTGTTGAGGGATGGAAAATGGGGTGAGCAAGAAGCAGCAATTTTGGTACCAGGAGATTTGATTAGCATCAAATTAGGAGATATCATACCAGCTGATGTTCGTCTCTTAGAAGGCGATCCACTAAAGATTGACCAGTCTGCTCTCACTGGTGAGTCCTTGCCTGTGACCAAACACTCTGGGAATGAGGTATATTCTGGTTCTACTTGTAAGCAGGGTGAAATTGAGGCTATTGTCATTGCCACTGGTGTACATACCTTCTTTGGTAAGGCTGCACACCTTGTAGACAGTACCAACAACGTTGGCCACTTCCAGAAGGTATAACTTGGTCTTTGTTTCTCCTTTCATTTTATCTTACAACTTGATTAAGCTTGTAGAATGACGGTTTTAGACTGACTTTTGTAGTATTTGACTGGCTTTTAATTATTAGGTATTGACAGCCATTGGTAACTTTTGCATCTGCTCAATTGGTTTGGGAATGTTGATTGAGATAGTTGTGATGTACCCCATCCAAGAAAGGTCATATAGAGATGGTATTGACAATCTATTAGTGCTTCTTATTGGAGGTATCCCAATTGCCATGCCTACAGTCTTATCTGTGACCATGGCTATCGGGTCCCATCGCCTTTCCCAGCAAGGTGCCATCACTAAGAGAATGACAGCAATTGAAGAAATGGCTGGCATGGATGTTCTCTGTAGTGACAAGACTGGAACTCTCACCCTCAACAAACTTACAGTCGACAAAGCCTTGATTGAGGTTAGTGGATTAGTGCTAAATGTAAAAGATCCAGCATAGTTAACTATGGTCATCCTGAAACTTAAACAAGCTAACTTAAGGACTATGATATACTTTACCAATACCAATAAAATTTAACCCAAAATGTATAATAATGAATCAGTCCATTATCAATGAGTCTTTCTTTAAGTTCTCTTGTTTTGAAATACAGGTGTTCCCTGTTGGGATGGATAAGGATACTCTTGTCTTGCATGCTGCTAGAGCTTCTAGGGTTGAAAATCAAGATGCCATTGATGCATCAATTGTAGGAATGTTGGGCGATCCTAAGGAGGTACATATAATAATTCAAGCTAAGACATTATACTGTAAACTAATTACTCTTGTATGCATGCATAATGATTTAACTCGTTAATAAGGTTATGTTGTGACATCCCAGGCAAGAACAAGAATCAGTGAGGTGCATTTCTTACCTTTCAATCCTGTGGACAAGCGCACAGCCATTACTTACATTGATGGCAATGGTAATTGGCATAGAAGCAGCAAGGGTGCTCCGGAGCAAGTATGGGATCTTCTAACATGTGTTAATGCAGCATTATAGTTACAATATATGCTATCACTTACTGAATCTTAATAATTTTTCGTATGTACCAGATTATTGAACTCTGCAACCTCAAGGGAGAGGCTAGGAAAAAGGCCCACACTGTGATTGACCAATATGCTGATCGTGGTCTGCGTTCCTTGGCTGTTGCTCGCCAGGTGAATAAACGGTGTCATGCCACATGTCATAAATTCTATTTGTACAATGTATATCAAGAAATTTCTCTAACAAGTGCAGTGTTTTCTTGGTTTTTACCTTGTTGGCAGGTTGTTCCAGAAAAGACCAAAGAAAGTGCAGGAGATCCATGGGAGTTCTTGGGCCTATTGCCTCTCTTTGATCCTCCAAGGCATGATAGTGCAGAGACCATTCGTCGTGCTCTTGAGCTTGGTGTTAATGTTAAAATGATCACTGGTGACCAACTTGCAATTGGAAAAGAAACTGGGCGTAGGCTTGGAATGGGCACTAACATGTATCCATCTTCTTCACTCCTTGGTGAGAGCAAAGACCCATTTATTGCGTCTATCCCATTAGATGAACTCATTGAGAAGGCTGATGGATTTGCTGGAGTTTTCCCAGGTAATGAAACGATAATTGGCTACTGATGTTAAATCGGTACAGATGAAAGTGTGTATAATAAGTCAATCCATTAGTACAATTAGCTTAACTTGATCTTGGGTTAATATTTAGGCCAAATATACCCAATAGTTGAAGTCTATCTGTCAATCTTGTGAAGGAAGTTTCAAGCTTAATTTCCTTTGTGCCAGCTTAGACTAACTCAACTTTTAGAACTAGCATATCTAAAAAGCAAATGAAGTAAATATATTGTCAAACAAAATTTGATTATGGTGGGGAATATTTACAGAGCACAAGTATGAGATTGTCAAGAGGTTGCAAGATAGAAAACACATTTGCGGAATGACTGGTGATGGAGTCAATGATGCACCGGCGCTTAAGAAGGCAGACATTGGGATTGCAGTGGCTGATGCTACAGATGCTGCTAGGGGTGCCTCAGACATTGTTTTGACAGAGCCGGGACTTAGTGTGATTGTAAGTGCTGTTTTGACAAGCAGGGCCATCTTTCAGAGGATGAAGAACTACACAATCTATGCTGTTTCCATCACAATCCGTATTGTGCTTGGATTTATGCTTGTTGCTTTGATTTGGAAGTTTGATTTTTCTCCTTTCATGGTCTTGATCATTGCCATCTTGAATGATGGAACCATCATGACTATCTCCAAGGACAGGGTAAAACCATCTCCTCTACCTGACTCATGGAAGCTTCAAGAAATCTTTGCCACTGGTATTGTTCTTGGAGCTTACATGGCCATCATGACGGTCGTCTTTTTCTACCTCGTTCATGACACCACATTCTTTAATGTGAGTAAATCCCCCAGCAGAACAACCTATCCATCATACAATTTTGACATGAAATTCTAATTCTTTGTCTGCTTCACCCCTTTTTTAGGACACTTTTGGTGTCAAGTATATCACAGATGGTGAAGAACATCTTAACTCAGCACTTTACCTCCAAGTGAGCATAATCAGTCAAGCACTCATCTTTGTCACAAGATCAAGGGGCTGGTCTATCTTAGAACGACCTGGTGTAATGCTTGTTGGAGCCTTCTTCATAGCACAACTGGTATAGTTTTCACTTGTACACATAATACTAATGGAAATATATTTTACTCTCTCTTTATATTTTCTGGGTTTGACTTGTAGGTGGCCACTGTCATTGCTGTGTATGCTAACTGGGAATTTGCCAAAATCCAAGGCATTGGTTGGAGATGGGCTGGAGTAATATGGCTCTACAGTGTTATTACTTACATCCCTCTTGATCTTCTCAAGTTCATAATCCATCTTGCATTGACCAACAAAGCTTGGGACAACATGATCCAAAACAAGGTCTAAATTCATTTCATAATGTTGTTATACCCATGAGGTGTGTTATACTAACATGTTGTCATATGATTCTCGTGTGTATAAATGCAGACTGCTTTCACAACCAAGAAGGATTATGGTAAGGGAGAGAGGGAGGCTCAATGGGCAATGGCTCAACGTTCACTTCATGGTCTTGATCCTCCAAGTTCTTCCAAGAGCAGCCACTGTGAGCTATCTGATCTTGCTGAGCAGGCCAAGAAACGTGCTGAAATTGCCAGGTATGTGATAAAAGAAGAATAATTATGTGTTAGGTTTTGAGATTGTTAAATGTTTATTAAAAGTCAAATTTACCAAATGTTAGTTTGGTAAAAGTTAGTTATTATAATGAAATTATATTTGGGTATGTTTTTTAAAAAATCAATATGATAAATTAAAAGTTATTTGAAATATAACATAGGCTAGGTTTTAGATAGAGATAATTGAAAGTTGTTTAAACGTTAAAAGTAAATTAAGAGCCCCTTTGATTTCATCTTTCAATTTTTGAAAGCTCTTTTATGGATTGGTGAAATGCCCAACATTATTTGGATTTACATAATCTTCAAAAACTCATTCTCAAAAGTTCTTCTTAAAAGTTGCAAAAAGTGCATTTTCCTTACATTAGAAATACTTGCTTTTAACATATGAAAGTAGGAATTAGGGCGTTAAATGAGGAAGTTAAAAAATTCACTATCTTTTTTTCCCCCACAACTGAACTATTTATATTGTATTTGGCTCCATGTATCAAGCTTTACATTGTTTGACTATTCTTTATTTTAATTATTCAACATATCATAAATACCAAAGTTGAATTAAAACATACCCTAAGAAGACACATCACAATATTTTTTTTTTTGTTATATGAATAAAAGTTACAGTATGGATAGAATCTTATATTGGATCTAACTCTGGGACAAATTTGGCAGGTTAAGGGAGCTGCACACTCTCAAGGGCCATGTTGAATCTGTGGTTAAGTTGAAGGGTCTTGACATTGACCCCATTCAGCAGCACTACACAGTTTAACCAAACCTCAATTTCAAGAATTATTTGTAAATCAAGCTAAAGGAACACAAAGCTATGACAATGCACTTTTCCTTCTCGGGTTAACTTTGCTCTAATTATTTGACATCATCAGCAAGGAGGTGACGCCATCTTTGTGCTAGTAAATTGTAACTCATTAATTATAAATTCTAATATTAACATTCATTTTTTTGTCATTTATAATAAACTAACCAGTGACACGTCACTAGTCAAGGTAAATATATTAAAATAATAGAGAAATAGAGCAAAGCAGCGAGAAACTGAGAATCAAGAGGGTGACGATATTAAAATGCATTTGTTTAAAATGTGTTTGTGTATTTCATTAATCTAATTTATTTATGTTGGTAAAAAAATATAATTTATTTATATTATAATATATTACATATTTAAATATCTTTCATTGAACTTTTGTGATGTAAAATATAGGGAAAGGTTTAGATATTTAACTTTATATATTCAATATACTTTTCTCCTGTCAAATTAAAATAAGTGAATCTTAAAGTACTAACATTTATAACAAGAGATTATTATAGAATAAATCATTCATAAAAAATCATATGTCTTAGTTTCATTGAAAACAATTACTTTAGGCATATAAAATTTTTCTTATTATATATATATATATATATATAACTATAACCAGGGGGAAAAAGGAAAAAAGGAAAGAAAGAAAATTTATAGTCAAGAAGTAAAATCAAAAGGTGTCAAATTTAAAATTTACTTGAACGTTATAGTGTCCAATTTTATGATTTAGTTTTGGGGAAAAAAAACTGCGGTTATCACTGTTAAAAAAACGAGGTTGACTGGTCAGGATGAAGCCACGTAGCCTCCTTGTTATTTTCCTTTCCCGCCAATCTCCGTTCCCGCTCATCTCACACTTATATAAGCCCTAACGCTATTTATGTAATATATTTGAAAAATCTCGATTGTCTCGTCTCTGTGTCGCGCCCCTTCTCTCCATACTTCGCCGATTCGCATGGCGTCTCAGAATCTGACTGAGTATGAACGGAAGAGACTTGAGAATATTCGCCGCAACGATGAAATGTTGGCTGCCCTTAAGATTCATTCCAAAGCCTCTGAAGTATCCGCCGCAGCGAAGCGCTCAAGGTCTTCCCCCTCCGCTTTACCGTTTTTATTTATACTTCTTTCTATTCAGTATTTTTTTGTTTTGTTTTGTTTCATCATTTCTTGAAAATAGGGTTGCATCCAAATCTTACACTCTGAAATCTGAAAAGAAGCCTAAAACGGAAACTCCAGTGGTGATCCGAAGGTCCTTGCGATCCAGAGGCATGCCACCCGATTCCGAGGGTTTGAAGGATGTCGCTTTGGAATCTGTCAATGTTACTGAGAAATCACCGGCCAAAGTGTTGGGTCCTCTTTCCATGAGAGATGCTTACGAAGGGGATGAATTTGACCGCTCCTTAGTTGAAGCAATTGTGGGTTTGGCTAAGAAGGAAGCTCATTCTCATGCTTTGAATGGAGAAGGAATTGGTAGCTGCGCAGATGGGAATGCTTTGAATGTCGTTAAGGAAAGAAGCGTCGGGGCTTCTTGTGATTTAGAGAGGAGAAAGGAGGAATACAAGGTCAGGGGTACGTTGAAGTTGGAATCTCTAACTTTGGATTCCGATAACATAGCAAGGGTGGTTCCATCAAGGATAACCACTGCACGATTTTTTCCTTCAAGCAGTGTGAAGATGATCGTGACAGGTGACAAATTGGGAAATCTTGGATTCTGGAATTGCGATTCTGTCAATAATGAAGGAAATGAAGTTCATTTATACCACCCCCATCCAGCTGCCATTTCTGGGATCTTGGTTCAAAGATATTGCTTGTCTAAGGTCTGTGGTAATGTGGTATTGGAACATGTTCTCAGAATTTGTGAAGTTCCGGTTCACTTATCTGGGTACCGAACAACCGATTTAATTATTCTTTTCCGGTCTTACATTCATCTTCTGACACGAGCTGTTAAACGAATTCTTCTTCTTCTTATTGCTTTTGTGTTTTGGTCTTCTTTTCTGAGAAGATAGGTGTTAACTGTTAAGCAGGTGAATTTACTAGAGATGTCTGAAAAAGGATACAAACCAGTTGAAAAGGATAGTTAGTTTAATACTTTATGCATCTTCTGACACGAGTATGAATGTATATTTACCAATACTGCACTGAAGCATCTGTTTTCTCATCTTTTAAAGAAGCGGATTCCTACATTTACCTCTCCTACGCGTTTTTCTGGTTCGATTTTGTTTATATGCTTGGAATTCAATCGGAACCCCAATCAGGAAACATTGTAACTATTCATGGTTACCACTTATTTTGTCTATTTAAATTTGTTTGATATTACGGTTAATGCAGATTTACACAAGTTGCTATGATGGATTGGTTCGCCTGATGGATGCTGAAAAGGAGATTTTTGACCTGGTGTTTAACAGTGATGAAACTTTATACTCTCTCTCACAGCCAAACAATGATGCCAACTGCCTATATTTTGGCGAAGGTCCTGGAGGCTTGACCATTTGGGACAGCAGGACAGGGAAATGTACATCCCAATGGGTTTTGCATGGAAGTAGGATTAATACAATAGATTTCAACCAGGAAAACCTTCACATGATGGCAACTAGTTCTTCTGATGGAACTGCCTGCACCTGGGATTTGAGATATAATAAGAAGTCCAAGCCGAGTGCCCTAAGGACATTTACTCACCAAAGAGCTGTGCATTCTGCTTACTTCTCCCCTTCTGGGCGTTCTCTGGCAACTACAAGGTATGGACCTTGTTCCACGTTGAGCATTAGTATTTTCAATTTTGAAAGTTTGAGACATAGCTTAAGTCTGTGCTTACTCGAGTGCTCTGTAATATATACATCGTTCGCTTTCTTAATTTTTCTATGCTCATCTGATTCTACTGTTGTAACGATCAATATATTTTATTACCAACGAGCTTTTCAAAATAAGCATAGCATGCAATACGGAGAATATCCTTCAGCCAATTTGGCATATCAGGCTCGTTTTATCCCTCTACATTTCTCAAGCATGTACGCAATGCAGCAGTAAATGGATGCTTGTATTTGACTCTGATTTGCCTAATTGTGATTTTCATTGGGTTTGTTTTAACTTCTAACACTCTTTTCTCTCGATGCAGCCTGGACAACACAATTGGTATATACGATGGAGTTAACTTCGAGAATGCATCGACTATGTTCCACTTCAATCAGACAGGCAGGTGGCTTTCTACCTTCAGGTATGAGTTTTGGGTGTAAGTTTCAAAGGCTGATTTGTCATGCTTTTGTTTAATTATATGCCTAACTTCCAATCAAAATGAGCTGAGTCTCCAAATGTTGAAAGGGACTTGCTTTATCGGCATTAGCGCTTCTTTGTATGCGTCATGAACTTCTTGATACCAGAACTTCATAGATACATATCGTGAAAATGGAAATTAATATTTATGAGCTTTTCATTTGTGGAGACAGAGGAATATGGGGTTGGGATGATTCCTATATCTTCGTTGGCAATATGAAAAGAGGAGTTGACGTTATCTCTCCTGTTCACAAGAAAATCGTCAGGACTCTACAGAGCCCACACATGTCTGCCATTCCGTGCAGGTTTGATGCTCACCCTTTTGAGATTGGGACTCTCGCGGGAGCTACTAGTGGGGGACAGGTTTATGTGTGGACATCATCCTAAGAGAACCATCTAATTATGCACTAATCTCGTGTACAATTAAATGGAATGCTCGTTTGCGGTCTTTAGACTGGTTGGTTGCTTGTATGAGGCTTAAGTTCATTGTCTAGGCACTAGATAGTGTTATGTGAAGCATTTTTATTCCTTGTATGCTTAATATGTTATGTCGAAAGCGGTGATGATTAAAAATTAGGAAAATATAATCATTAATTTTTATAATTTTATCGAATTTTGCTTTCAATTCTTGCAGTTTTCTCAATATTTTCAGTCCATTTAATTTTAATAAAATTGGATTATGTTTGTTCTTCAAGTTCTTAACGATGTTAAATTACGAGGATAAAAAATATTGAAAAATGATTATGGAGACTAAAAAATATAATTTTATAAAACTATAGAGACCAAACCAATGATTATGTTTTTCTTTACAGATTTATCATAATGATGGCGATGGTAATTTTGATGATAATTACAAAAATGATTGACCACTATTTTTACTATTACTATCATCATCATCATCATCATTAATGTTTATGTAGAAACAAGCATAACTATTTTTGTAATTGTTGTTATTATGATAGTCATTTATGCTATTGTCACTCTTGTCATTCTAACAAATATTACTATCAACTGAGTTTAGGTTTGAAATGAACTTCTTGTATAAAGAGGATACTCAGTTAATGACAATCATTTGATGTTTGCATATTAACTAACTGGACACTAATAATATATTGTATGGGGTCCGATGAATCAATTATTCCATGTATATGCTTACGAATACTTCTGAAGGCCTTACACTTGAATGAATGTCCAGGAATCACGACACTCCAAACGAGGTAAGTGGTCCGGTGTAAAATTCAACAGGAGCCTTATATTTTCTAGTTTTATGCTTTGACTTCAAGGATTTTTCCAGCTTATTTTCATGTTTCGTAAAGAGCACTTAGCCAAAGAATATTTGAACTCTTGGCAAAAGCACTAGTGATCCCAGGCACTAAAACGCATTTGCTATGGATACTCGTTACTGTATTAAAAGTTGAAAGCTGAGAAGCCAGAGGCCTGAAAATTTACCAGATATTACATAATTTTTGACAAGAGAAAAGCATGATTGATTAAAGCTTCATGTTTTTCCAGGAAACCAATTCAGATGGAATTACTTGTTCATTACAGGATAGCACAGCCTGAGCCATTAAATTTCCTAGCCAACCATGGTATAACAATCCCCTGGAGCCTAAGCCTCCAAATAACCAGTACTTGCAAGTTTGATTTTTACCTATTAAATCATTAATGCAACCCAAAAGTGGGAGTGATCCAAGGGAAGTTAGTGGAGGCATTGCCCGCAGACCAGCTCTTGCTCCACTGTAGGCCCAATCCTTTATTCCAGGATAAATGGCCGATGCCTTGGGCAGAAGCTCTCCAATAGCTTTTGAAGCTTCATCAGCTGCAACATTTGGTGATGAATTCTGGGATTTCCATTCCCATGTCGATCCCACATGTAGACTCCGACACCCTTGAACGGCAATCCATGCATCTGACAATATCGATGGGCCAAGGTCCGGATATCCTTGTCTGTTAGACAAAGCCAGAAATTAACTCAATTCTGTATTTTATATAGGAGGGTGATGAGCATCCACAAGCAGCTATCGAGTATGAACATTGACACGGACGTGACACAAAATATCTATCTTTATCTGACAATTTTAAGTATCTCCCTGTGTTTCATAACCGTTTGTCATAAATTGGGACTCAAATTGAAAATCAAGAATTATAAGGTGCACAAAGCTCAACATCAAATGCATTTCGATTGGGTTCAAATGAAAGCCAGACTTTTACCCTATATCTTCAGGCAGCTCCAGGTGCAAAATAACGCCTCTGCATGTTCTCAAAGGAAGCCTACCGGAGATCTCAGGAAGCATGTTAACTTTGGCACCTAGACAGATGATGACTGCATCATACTCCCCTGAAACATAAAATGGAATTAGGTTGCACCCTTGAACAATGGAAACAAGCCAGATTAAACTACAGAAGCCTGAAAAGTGTACTGGATGACAAACTTGATTTTGAGAGACTGTAAGACCGAACAGAGTTGACCAAAGCAACACGCCAGAGTAAACTACAGAAGCCTGAAAAAGTATTGATGGGCCATTACCTTCAAACTCACATAGTCCGCAGACAGATCTTTTGTGAAAACTGAGCTGTCTATGTCCAGAACCAAAAGTTGAAGATTCTTTCACCAGATTTTCACATGCCCCGAAGAGTGCCTGATACAAATATTTAAAATAAATGTCACAAAGAAAAAGACTTTTCTTCAAAATAAGAAAAAAAGGACATTAACAAATTGAAACTTTCGTTGAATTACTTATATAGACCTGAAGATAATGTTGGGAATATATATTAAAAGCTGCAGGCATAAAGAAAGCTGTGCCCAGTGGTAGACATATACCAGGTACAAGATTTTGGACTTCTTCTGTGTTGAGAGTTTCTATCCTGCAACCAGGAAGGCAAGTCTGGACATTCTAACCACATAAAGAAGCAGATTATCACTTAGGAATCAACGTCCAATAATCAAGATTCCAGAATTTATTGGACCAGAGAGATTACATCATTCATTTTGGCCAAATGCTTCTCGTCCATTGCTGGTCTTAGGATGCCCCTGAAGTCAGCTGATTTCATCAGAAAAAGGAAAGCAAATCTAAGACTTCAATCAACAATAAAGAATTAAAGATTCAAAACACATTGAATCCTTCATTAAACTTTTGAAAATGTTGCAAATTGACAGTTCAAGACATGAAAACTATCTACCACTCTATATAGTGAGAAAATTAAAAAAATAATTGTGTCTAGGAAAAGAAAAGGTTTCATTCTTTTTCCTTTTTTTAACGGGTAGTATAGATCACAGAACCTTCAAAAGTTTTACTGATAACCCAACTAGAACAAAAGTATCATTTAAATGTTAACAATAAAGTTCAAAAACAAAAGTATCATTGTTAGTGAAATAAAAAGACAAAACCAGTCTTCAACATGCAAATAACATAGAGAGATGTTCAAGTTTGGAGAAAAAAGTGGCATGGAAGGATTCAGTTGATTCAGTTCTTCAATTTTTGGAAGGAAGGGGGAAAACCTTTTGTGAGCAACAAAACTTTCCATATTTTCAGGAGATTCTCCAACTTCGCATTTTTGGGAACTAGCAACTTCTTCAGCAATTCTCAGAAGATTAATACTCTCATTCCAACACTGAGCACCCTCCCAGAGAAGCTTGACTGCAGCGACCCATTAATAAATTGCAAGCAACATGGAAGACATATTAAAGGAAAACAATCCATTATGTCCAGATCAGGATATACTTCAAGAATATAACAGGAACCTTTTGGCGAATAAGGGTGAAGGAGACCTCCAGCTATCCCAGAAGCACCACCCCCAATGCCCACTTCATCGTACAAATCAATTTTCAGATCCAATCTCTTAGGACTATTCTGCAAAAAATAATTTCACAAGAAAGAAATAAAGTTAAAATGTTTATGATATTAAATAATTGCCAAGAAACATAATTTATCAGGAATGAATTAGAAATTAAAAGGGTATTATTCTAATTAGTTGAGCGGAGTTTTCAGATTCTCAGGCTTAATTTTTCAAGCTTAGTTTGCTGTGCTAAAATGTTGAGCTTGTTCCTTGAATAAATTAAAGCATTTGACAAGCCCCTTCCAAATAGTTCCCAAATCGCTAACACCTTTGTCCTTTGGCACCCTTGTATACTAGTTGTGATAGTGTCCACAAACTCACTATAAGCAAAGGCATGCACGCAGTTGGTTGCAAGTCAGTTATAGATGTGAATATAGTGTGCCTCGAAGATAACGTAGCAAATTTTATGGGTAGAAATGCACTTCAAGTTGAAGGTTAGAAGATATGAAACTAGGGGGAAAATCCGATAAACTAAATTCAGAGAGAACAGGAAGGGTACCTTCAACAAATGCCAAACTACCGAGAGTCCTGCAAATCCAGCTCCAAGCACAGCACACCTGAATGAATGAGAACACTACTTGTGATGAACGGGAAGCCATTGAAAAAGAATGAAGGAAAACAGGAAAGGCTCCGCCAATGGTGAAGGAGACCTGAGAGAATGTTGGGTTTGAGAACAGAGAGAGCGAACGCGGGAAGTAGTTATTTTACGAGAAGGAAAACCATAGCGAATACTTATTGTCGGATCAACTGAATGGGATAGTGACATCGCCGGATTAGGGTTCGTCCACAGATTACGGGATTTCACGTCGAGGCTGGCTCGCTCCTCTGCTACGGTGCTTACCCCTTCGTGAGTTGGAGTGACACATTGTTCTCTTGAAAGTTAATCCTGATATCGTGCTATGAAAATTACGTATTTAGTTATTTATTCTCCGATCTAAAATATAAACCTATAAGCAGTTTTAGAAAATTGTCATAAATTTTTGATAAAAATGTTATTAATTAATTAATATAAAAATTTAGATTAATGAATATAAAAAGTAAAATAAAAAAATTGCAATTTACAAATACTAAATTCTTTGTATTTTAAATCAAGATTAAATAAAAAAATTTATATTTTAGGCAGAAAAAGTATCATTAATCAGCGTTATGGAATAATCATTAATAGCTAATGGCAAGATACTCTTTCAATCCTTATATTATAGAGCACTTTCATTTTATCCTTAACTTTAAATAATAATATAACTATATTAAATCCTTTCAAGCTAATTAAGAAAAAATAAAATTAAAAAATTTATTTAATTATTATAAAGTATTTTATATTTTGAACTAAAATTTACTTTTAAAATGTGTTTTATAAATAGAACTTAAAGGAGTAAAAAGTTGTGCATGTTAGAAAATCATGTTCAAACGCTTTAGTATCATACTACAACAAAATTAATGGAAACTATGGGTAAGACTTATATATCTAGTCTAATATACTTAACACACTTATATTCAATCAAATTATGACGAGTAAATTTTAATATGCTAATAAAATTAATAACAAAAATTTATTATTGAATAAATAATTCATGAACAATCTACATGTCTTAATTTAATTGGATACAAACACATTAAGCAAATAAGAGTATGTATATACTCCCTCCGTTAAAAAATATAAGGCATTTTTAATTAAATTTTATCTTCACAAAGTAGTTATATACTTTCAAACTAACTTTATCTTTCTATATTTACTCCCATTAAACACCCTATAATAAATATAAAATTATTTATCAACAGGAGTACTTAAAAAAAGGGCAATGATTACACTTTAAAAGATTAAAAATACCTTTATTTTTTAACATTTAACTTCTCAAAAACTGTCTTACATTTTTTGACAGAGGGAGTAAGTTTTTTCCAAATACAATTATCCTTATTTTGTTTTGTTTTGTTTAAATCATAGATATTTCTTTCTATTTTCAAAACTTACACTTCAATCCACTTGTTGACAATGTTAGAAATATTTCATTAAAAAATCTAAAATACTTAATTTTTTTATTTGTAATTATATTAAAATTTTTAAAATTATTATATACGTTTATAATTTAATTGTATACTCTCTCTCCCAATTTTTAACAATTAAATAATTACATCAATATTTTAATAAATAATTTTATTTTTGTGTTAAATTAATAAAATTAATAAAATATAAATTATATTGAGTAATCTATTATATTAAATCCTATTATTTCATTAAGCTTTTGTACCTATGTCTTTAAAATATTATTTTTGTCAATTTATGTATTGAAATTTTAGAAAATGTTACTAAATAAATAGTTAATATAGCTAAAAAATTAAAATATAAATAAAAAAGTGAAAATCTATGCATTAATTGTTTTGGATAATTTAAATAATTTTTAGATAACATTTATATTTAAAGAATAGATATTTTGGTCTAACATATGTAATTTAATTGTGAGTGGAAATAAATAAAATTTTAAAAATGGAGGGGATGTTTGTATATTATAGCTATGTATATTAGGAGAAATTCCAATGGGTTTCAAAAATAAGAGAGAGGTATCTATAATTAAAATAAAATAGAAAGGAGATCAAAGTATTTTACTCTAAATTAATTTTGCTGGAACTTTTATTTTAGCCAATAACAGTCGATCACAATTCACACTCTTAATGCATGTGTAGAAAAACCCTCAATAATTAGAAATTTTTACATGGAGCAAGACACTTCATGTATACTCTATTTAATAAAATTGTACCTTTTTTAAAAAAATAAAGTGTCCATTTAATTTATTGCTTTCTATCTCTATAAACATCATATATAAGGGGAGAGAAAAAAATAATAAATTAAAATAATTTAAAGTGACATAAATGAATCAGATTAAATAAATTTGGTATGACACGTGTTATAGGATATAGCATGGATAATATGATGAACAGATTTATATTTTGGGAAAATATCACCAAAGGACTAATGGAGGTATTTTATATCAAAGAAGGATTTTTAAATTATAATTTTTCACTGTATCCCCTTAATCATTAGTCGAAAATAAGTTTTTATGGGAAATAATTGAAAGTTTAGAATAACAAATGTTCACCTACATAAACAATATTCTCTTCATTAAAAAATATAAAATATTTTTTGAGGAGTTAAATGTTTAAAAATATAAAGCATTTTTAGTCTTTTCAGGCGTAATCATTACATGTTTTTTAAAAGTGCCCTTATTGATAGTAATTTTATATTTATTATAGGGTGTTTAATAGGAGTAAATATAAAAAGATAGGGTTAGTTTGAAAGTAGTTAACTACTTTATTGAGGGATAGACTCAACTAAAAATATCTTATATTTTTGAACGGAGAGAGTAAGTTTTTTCAAATTTTAACAACAATCAATTCGTGATTAATAACAACAAATTCAAATTTTAACAAAATTAAAAAATTGACAGCACAATTTTAATGAAATAAATATTCACCTTACATAAACAATAAGTTATTCAAATTTTGACAACAAGATTAACAATACATTTAAACTTTAACAAAATTGAAAAACTGACAGATTTAATGAAACCAACATTTATCTTGCATAAAATATAAGCAATTCAAATTTTGATGACAACAATACATTCGAACATTAACAATGAATTCTTGTTTAGTTGTTTTTCTTTCATTAAGAGAGATAATCAAATTATTTCTCACAAAAATTTATTTTTAACTAAGAACCAAAAAGGTGTAGTGAAAAATCAAAATCTTAAAATCTTTCCTTTGATATAAGATACCTCATGGTCCTCAAGTGATATTTTTCCTTATATATATATATATATATATTAATTGGAACAGAAAATAGAAATTTTCAGCTGCTTCATGAGAAGATGAATTAAAAACAATTTATGAGAATGTGACAATATCTTGAGATAAATTACAATTTCAATTTGTTAAAAGAAAAATTGGATGTTTTGGCTAAAAGCCAATAAAACTAGTCCTTAAAAGAAAAAAAAAAGAGGCTAAAATATTTTTTTTGATCCTTTGATTTTATACAAAATGAAACTTTATATAAAATTTCATTTTGATTGTTTCATTTCATAAAATATATTTTTAACTCTTTAACCTTAATAATGTTATTTTTAATGATTGTTTTATACATCAACCATTGTTATTTAAAAAAAAATGAACTTAATACATTTGATAATGTTTTATTAATATTTAAAAGTTTAATGTACAATTTTTTTTGTAATAAATCTAATGGTGATATAGTTAATGGACTAAAAAAATATTTTATAAAATTAGGAAATCAAAACAAAACCTTAGATAAAGTTAAAAGATTAAAAGTATATTTAAAAAAAAATCGTGCATCATGCTCATATAACCTCATCTTTTTATTTTTGGCCCAGAAGACATCTTAAAAGCATGGATTAGTAGATACACCACAAGTTGCAAATCTGCCTACCTGTTAACTTGGATCAAGCGTATAAACATAATCAGAACATGAACGTGGTTGTTACAATGCACAGGATTGAATACGGTTGATTGAAATTAGCGTCCACGCTCATTTAAAAAAAATTAATGATATATCTATAATCACAAACTATTACATAAATATAAAGTCACTTGTCAAAAACATTCCAAAGGAAAATTCACAAATTATGCTTTCCTGAATATAACACGCCTTTCTCTCTTGTATTCTATTTCGTCTCTCTGGTGCATAATTATTAGAGCTCTCCTCACCTGTCAAATGCAAATTCACCATGTCAATGACCAACAACATTGATAATAAGTTGCAACTTGCTCAAAAAATTAGGGAGTCAAATAAAATCATTATAGTATGTAATATCATAAACACTTGAATCAAGAAATGCAAAGACTCCAACAGAGATGATGTTTGCAGATGTAATTTGAATTTGGTCCGCCACCTAAAAAGCACCATCACTTTGGAAAATGAAACTGTATTGTGTAAAATACTTCAATGGTGAGTGCTTATAGTGAAGATTGCTAACGAAAGAGGCACCAGCAAACTTACAATAGAGTCATTCAACCCCATTCTAACGAGATCATCAATCAACCTTCTTTCTGATAAATGGTTTCCAATTCCAATTCTTCTCTTTATCTGGGTTTCGGCTTGCTGCTCACGATGAGAACAATTTAATAAGTGAAGCTAATAGATAAATAATAAGATTGTTGCATCACAAGACAAACCTTTATTTCATTTGCCATATCCGGCGTAAGATTTACTTGTTGGGCTATTCCAGACTTAGCTGCATCCATTGTAGAAACGGTGAAAAGCCTTATTGCCTCTTGCACATTCTCCTCAGTGGCAATATGAGACCTGATATTGAAGTTCATGATCAAATTACAAATTGTTAAAAAGATGCATGGACGAAAATAGGATAAACAAAAACCACTTTAAAAGGGCACAGAACAAAGGACGATTAAGAAAACATTTTCAACAACAATAAATCAAAGCGAGTTGAGAATTCTGGACACACGCATCAAATCTAACTTGGAATGACAATAGTACTTACAGCTTCATTTTTGCAAGAGCCTCACTCAGTCTAACAATAGCTTCCAGCTGCCTTACAGTGATTGGTATTGCAGCAGCTTCCCCAGTTTCATTTGCCTGCCTCCTCATATCCTATTAAGAAAAATAAAAGTAATTCTCATTCTATTTTAAAATGCGGAGAGCCCTCACGTCTGATCAATAACAGGAGCCACAGTAGCTTAACCAACTTCTTACAGTTATGCCCAAAAGAAAAAGGAGACAAGTAGCTAACCTGTCTGATTTTGACATAATTGTTCTGCAGTAATGTCGCTGCAGATTCTGACAGGCGAGGGTGACATTCAGCTCGGCAATATTGCAAATACCTATAATTTTAACAGCTAAGAAGTCATCCCTCAGAAAGTCATGAAGAATATTGGAACAAGTTTACGAACGCAAGTACACAACAAACCTCTTGAGCCAGTTCTCTTCTTTAGAAACCCTACTCTCACCAGTAGTTGCATTAGCTGATGCGTGAACCTTAATGATATGACTAGCTATGACCTGTAAAACAGATACATCAGTCAACCACTGGCTACAGGATAAATGAATGACGAGTCATGAAACAAGTAATCCAAGCTTTTGAATAGTAATGAAAATTAGTCCTCTGTTATAACATGCAGAAAAGTCCAGCATTGCTCAAAAGATAGATTGGTCATATTGAAGGACGGATGAAAAACAAAGCACAAACAAACTTGATCACATTCCTTCAGGGATAAAGATGCATACAGTGATAGCGACCAAAACATTCAAACCACAATAGTCAAAGTTACCTTGTCTTGACTATACATTCTGATGTCTTTCACAATGAAGATTAAATCAAACCTAGAAAGAATGGTTGTTTGCAGATCAATGTTATCCTGTGCAGTCTGGAAGAATATTTAAGAAATTTGTTAGCCTCTAGACTCAAAGTTATGCCTTCTAAAAACTGACAAAGATATATGGCAATAGACCTTAAGATCATCATAACGTCCTGATGGAGGGTTGGCAGCAGCAAGCACAGAAGTTCTAGAGTTAAGAACAGTCGTTATTCCTGCTTTTGCTATGGATATAGTTTGCTGTTCCATAGCTTCATGAATGGCAACCCTACATTACATAAATTATATAGAAATGCTATTTACCAGCATGATCAATTGCAGCATGAGTCAAAACGTAACCTAGCATACAATTGTGGCGAAAAAGACAGCAAAAACCTGGCATACCTATCCTCTGGTCGCATCTTGTCAAATTCATCAATGCAAACAACACCTCCATCTGCCAAGACCATGGCCCCTCCTTCAAGATAGAACTCTCGCTGAATTGCACAGAACAAGAATCAGAGACTAGTCAATCCAAGAAATCTTCAACAAACTAGCCAAGAAAAACGTCTAACAATAACCTGAAGCAAATGTTAAAAAAACACTATCCTATGAAGAATGAAGAACGTACAGAGCTGCTATCTCGAATTACAGAAGCTGTGAGACCTGCAGCTGATGACCCTTTCCCTGAAGTATAAACAGCAACAGGAGCAGTCTTTTCAACAAACTTCAGAAACTGTATGAGGCAATTGTCTTATATCAGGACCTCTTTTGTAGTGTTATAATGTAAACACTAGATTAAGAATTCTAGCTTATTGCAAAAATAGGTTAAAAAAAGTAGCATTCCAAGTTAAGCTAGTTAAATTTAACCCTAAACCATGCACCAATGAATTCTTAAACGTCTGATACAAAAGTAGCTAGAACGTCAGAGGCATACTCAAGGCCTCATTGGGAGGAAGGCTTGAGATGGAGTGGGGTGGGATGAGATGATGAGTATTCATTAGATGTTTCAAAGGCTAATGGGATTGGGGTGAATTAGGATGGTTTCCAAACCGTCCTACCCTACACCCCAACTTTCACAAAGTTATAAATTGGGTGGTTTGGATTCTTTAGGCTTTTCATTTCCTTTTTTAACCCTTTTACCTGTATTTTTTTTTCTACAGCAGTTAACATACCAAAGATAATACTAAACATTTTACCATTGAACGTTGAAAGACCCGTTCAAGACCATTAAACATTCAATCAAGGGACAGTAGGATATCATCTGTTTTTCTGTTAAAACTTCCACTAAATGAAATGTGCTGTCTCCCCCATCTGACTTCAATCTTAATTCCTAATCCTAACCATCAGGTTCAAGCCAGTCATCATGAAATAGCATAAAACACTAACCTGAGACTTTGCGGTTGATGGATCCCCAAGAAGCAATACGTTGATATCACCTCTTAACTTCACTCCATCAGGCAAGTTCTGCATGAAAAGAAACAATATCAACTAACAGGGAACCATGGATGGAACCGAGATGACTAAAGGTAAAACAAGCAATGGTTATACCTTTCTGGACCCTCCAAAGAGAAGACAAGCCACAGCCTTTTTGACATCATCATGACCAAATATGGAGGGAGCAATCTTGGCACATATATTTTTGTAGGCATCAGGTTCAGCAGCAAATTTTTTGAATTCTTCTATCTGCAAAACAACTTCGTTAATAGTATCAGCATCATTTAAAATAGCAAAATTCACAAAGACAATCACCAAGGTATAAATCAATGAAGATGCAGCTATTGTTTCAAAGCCAACCTCTTCTTGTGTGAATGCAGCTGGACCTCGAGAGTTGGCCTCATTTGCTTGTTCCATTCCAACAACCCTAATGTAAGGCTGTCTAACTGCGACAGCTCCTTTTTGGCTGCAAGGAGACCATCTCAACAATTCTCAGGCTTTAATTATGGAAGAAGGAAGAAATTATAGGATCATAAACAGGTGGAAAATTAGCCTCACGCTGCAGAAAAATTGGAAGCTTGATAGATACTATAGATTCCCATGATTGTCAATCTTGAGCCAGGTACCACTGTTTGAACAAGATGACGATCAACAGAGAGAAGCATGTTTCTGGGAAGCTCCCCAGTCGGAACATCCTTCAATAACCATGATAAAATGCATCAATATGTTATCATTTTGTTAAGAAACAAATCTTTTGATGCTCAAATTCATATAATTTACCTCGGGATTTTCTTGTAGTTTTAAGGTTTGCTGGTCAACATACTTGCTCTTATCAGGAACCACAAGCCATGGATCAAGTGGACATGGTTCTTCTCCTGGCTACATACAGTAAGTATCTTATAATAAATATCAAGAGAAAATGTGAAGGATAAAATGGGAAGAGGAAAAGAAAGAAATCGACGAAATTCCAACAGTGTATATGAATTATGAAATAAACCTGAGGAATATGATCACATGAACGAGGGACAATAGCGCCGCCAAGTCCTGGCCGACATGGAACGTGCTTCCCCTTTTTGCAATTCTTACATATTAAGGTGACATAAGTTGCCTTCGCTTTAGTCCTTGATGCAGCAATCGTAATCCCCGCTATCTTAACCAGCTTTGATATATATTGAGCCTACGGAAAACGATCATTTACGCACTTGAATGTCAGATTAACCCAACAGAACCCGATGACCGTTAAGCACACATGCCATCATCTACAAGTTTCAGGGCAAAAGAAAAATAACACATTTCCAACCAAAAGCGTCAAAAGCATAGACATGACATGTCATTTCCAATACAAGGAATCCAGTTAACCCAAAACAAAAAAAATCAAAGCCACTAACCCCGAGGGATCTCATTGACACCGGATCCTCCTTGGAAGTGAGCAAAATCTGCACATCCCCAGTCACTGGGTCTTCCATAACCCCAGTATCCCCGGCCACTTTCGTCTTCAAACTCACCAAAACTTGAGCAGCCGCCATCTCAAACTACACCAAGAGACCAAAAAAAAAAATCAAACTAAGGAAAATTCATTGGATAGTTAGTGATCCCGTTTCTTCCAAAATTAAGAAGAGTTTCATATAAACTACCAGTGGAAGGTAATCAGCCGGGTTGGAGCGGAGTTTGGCAGGCAGGTCAGAATCGAAGGCGTCAAGATCTTCCAAGTCGACGACCAGAAACTTGGGATTATGGACAAGGCTTTCTCTGTAAGGGAACACATTCTTGTCGGTCTCGAAGTTTCGGATGAACTCCTTTAATTTCTGGAGGATAGTGTGGTTGTCGGCGGCTGCCGTGGGAGCGTCTCCACCGCGATCGTCCCATGAGTGAGCTTGGTCGCTATAGTAGACAGCTCCCTCATCCCAGCCCGACATTTTCTATCTTCCGTGCGCTCTCTCCGTCTCTCACTCTCTCCCTGAAACAAGGGTTCAGATGCTTGAGATTGGGAATTTGGAGGGTGAGGTATGAATGGGGGTCGTTTTGGCGGGAAGTTTCTGGCGGGAACTTGCGGATGCGATGCCGATGGCAGATCACGTGACATGGTCGTGTTTTTTTTTTTTTTTTTTTGGGGTTTCCGGCTCGGCCGACGTTTTCGGCCTAGACCGGATTCGTGCATTTACACGCAGAAAGTCGGAAAAATGATGAATGTTCAAGGAGGCATGGTTTTTATATTTTATATCTGAACATTTTAAGTTCAGAGACAAAAATAAAGAAGGATATAAAAAAAAATTTTGGCCAAGATATGAAAATGCTGAATAATAATAGATTATAAGAAGAAAAAATGTACAATTTTTATGACAAAAAAAATTCTCTACGTGCCTTTTATTCTTAGTACTATATTTTTAATTAAATAATGATAGATATATAGATGGGCTCACTTATCATATTGATTGTCAGATTTTCTTTTAGTCAAAGAAACAGGATTATATTGATAGTCAGAGTTTTCATAACAAGATTTTACAAAATTTATCCCCTGGAAGTATAATTTTTTTTTAATTACCCAAGGTATCTTGTGGTCAGTAACTATAAGACTAATATTTCAAGAAATTTAAGTCATTTAAAAGGTTGTCATTTCTCAAAAAATATTTTTTCATACAAATCTTAAATTTTTGGAGTTTTGATATAATTTAATTTTATTGTGAGGATTTTATTTATGATCTTGTTTAAAAAAAAACAAAAGAAAAGAAGTAGTAGTAAAGTTAGTAAGAACACCACAAAACATGGGATACACTCACACACGCACACACAAATCAAATCTTAATATAATACAAATATTTGAAAACAAAAGTTAAATCTTTTGACAGATCCAAACTAATGCTTAAAATTTCTTAAAATTGGTGTAGTAAGATTTCTTTCTTTCTTTTCTTTCTTTCGTGGATAAACATCAATATAAATGACAAGTTAGCAACAGCAAGAAGATCTCCTTCAAACACACAATGAACATACGATACACAAAGGTAATTATGATATCTATTATACAACTTACAAACTCATTTGATTACACACATTCAAACTTCTTACTAAGCACTTGATATGTTTCAAAACGAATATATATAGAAGAGAAATTTAAAAGTAGACTTGGGCTATCCAACCAATGATGAAGGGACATTTAGGCATATGAGAGATGAATTCCATTGAATGTCGATTTCTCATTGGCTTCTGTATCTACCAAATCTGCTTAAGAATATATGTATATTAATATTTGCGATCTTCTGGAGGCTTTGACCCTGACAAAAGCGTCAAGGCCTCTTCCATGGATGGGCGATCAGATGGCTTGCTTCTGGTGCAAAGTAAAGCCACTTCAAGAACCAGTTTTATCTCTTGCGGTGAAGTGGCAGAACCCACTTCATTTTCATCGTAAATTTCTCCCAAAAGAACATCTTTTGGTTTGCCGTGTATGCTAGCTGCTGCATTTGTCAGCCTTCCATTAGTTAAAATCTCCAGAATCATCTCTCCAAATTTGTAGACATCAGCGTAGAATTCATCTTTCATGGCTTCATTGTATTCTGCTGTTAAAGAATAGACCATGATCACTATTTACGCCTACTTTCTCTCCATAGCATGTTGTAAGAATGATTGGCAAATGTTTGAGTAATTGTCTAACTGAAAGAAATTGATAGTGTTTAAGACAAAGTGTCATGTATTTCATGATTGTATAAATTTTCTTATGAATCCCTTAAGTTTTGTGTGAACTTTAAATTAGTACACCAGATCACTAAAATACTAAAAGAAATTAAAAATATCTTATTTTTCATACCTGGTTCCCAGCTAGAAGTTGTGGCAAGAGATGAACCTTTGCTCAACTTCAGCACATGTTTGAGGCCAAATTCTGCCAAGTGGGGTTCCATATTTTCATCAAACACTACATTGCTAGATTTCAAGTCTCCATGGGGCATGGCTGGGTAACAGTCATGGTGAAGAAAGCAAAGTCCCTTGGCAATGCCAATCACAATTCTGAATTTAGCTGCCCAATCCCTTTTCATCCCAATTTTCTCTGCCAAGTTTCCATTGGGTAAGTAGTCATATAGAATATAAGCTAGATTCTGGTTGTAACAAAACCCAAGTAATCTGATCAAATTCTTGTGCCTTGCATTTCCTAGTTGCATTATAAACTCTGATACCACCTTAATGTTGCTCTTTTCCCACTCAATCCTCTTCACCAAAACTGTTATTCCAGTTGGCAGAACAGCTTTTGAAACTGACGGTGATGGTGTTTTTGCCACTCCTTCTCTTGATTCTGTGGTATTGAAGCTTGTCAAAACATCATTTGCTGTGAACTGAGGGAGCCCAATAAATGAGATCATCTTCCATTGGCTTTTAACTCCTCGCCTGAAATAAACTATTCCAAAAGATAATGCTGCAACAAGGAATATAAGCAATCCAGCACACAGTAGCACTATACTTGTAAGCTTCCATGTGCCTTTACTTCCCAATATTCCAACTGAACCCGAACATGGCTGTAGAGGTGCCCCACATAGCTCTGGATTCCCAACAAATGCACTGTTATCCATGAATCTGAACAAGTTTCCTTTGGGAATCGAACCGGAGATGTAGTTGAAAGACACGTTAAGAAGTTGTAAACTTGAAGAAGCACTGAACTTTGCAGGTATAGGGCCGTTGAGGTTATTGTGTGATAGGTCTACAACACCAAGAACGGGAATGCTTGCAAGCTGCTCAGGTATAGGACCAGATAAATTATTACTGGATAATTTTATACTCTCAAGATTTTGGCAATTTGAGACAGTAAATGGGATCACTCCAGACAAGTTGTTCCTATCAAGTTCAATGCTAGAGACTGATTTGCAGGACTCAAATTGGGGAAGATTTCCTGAAATACGACAGGAAGAGGCTGAAAAATTTTGCAGAAGTGGTAAAGACCATGTTTGTGCAGGGATGGTGCCTCCTAATAGTGGATTATTGGAAACATTGAAATAAGTAAGCTTGATAGCTTGGGAAATATCTGAGGGGATTCCACCAAGAAATTTATTCCTGGATATGTCAACATATGATATATCAGGAAGATGTCTGAATTTCAAAGGGATATGCCCTGTGAACAAGTTATCTTCCAGGCGAAGACGAACAAGTGAAGAACAATTCGAGAGAGATGGTGAGAGGCTGCCGGAGAATCTGTTTGAAAACAGGATCAGCTTATGTAGCACTCCTCTGTTACAAATGTCTGGTGGTATACTGCCTACAAAATTGTTTGTGGAAACATCCACCCACATGAGATTTGAGTTCTTGCCCAAGCTCTGTGGAAGTAACCCAGAGAAGTCATTGCTCCAAATAAGAAGAGTTTCCAAGTTTGGAAGTTGTGCAATGCCTTCAGGGACAGTTCCATTCATGTCATTGTACATGAGGCTGAGCAGGCTCAGGCTCTCCAACTTTGAGAAGCTTTCAGGAATGGGCCCAGAAATGAGATTGTCAGAAAGATCTAAATCTGTGAGTGACTTGATCTTGCTAAACTCGCTTGGAATTGTTCCCACGAGCTGGTTTCTGAACAGATAAAGTGACTTCAAATTGGTGAGGTTGGAGAGTTGCTTTGGTATTGGGCCAGATAGATTTGCACCAGCAATATCTAGATACCTTAGTTCACTCATGTTACCTAACTCAAATGGAATGAAACCCTGGTAGGAATTGTAGCCGATTTCCATGTGGGTTACTGTTTTGAGATTACCCAATTCTGGAGGTAGATTCCCGGAGAGAAGATTTCCTGCAAGATGAAGAAACTCAAGGCTTCTAAAGGAACCATATTCAGATGGGATTGGTCCTTTGAAGTAACTCCCAGCAAGATTAAGGACCTTGAGATTTTCAAGTTCAGAAAGTTCAGCAGGCAATGGCCCGGAAAAGCTGTTGCTAAAGGCGTCAAGTACAAGCAAGTTTTTAAGTCTGGAAATCCCACCTGGAAAGTGACCAGAAAAGTTGTTTCTGCTTATATCCAAGCTTCTTAGAATGGTGAGGTTGAAAATTTCCACAGGAAGTTGCCCAGAGAAGAAATTGTGGCTGAGATTGAGATATTCAAGCTCTGTGAACACACTGAATTGCTTCCCTGACATTGCACCTCCCAGTTTCTTCATGGATAAGTCTATCAAGGTTACAGTTTTTGAGTTGTTACCACACTTGATTCCAGACCAAGAACAATAAGCATTGGATTTCCCAGTTGAGTTTCCTCCAGAAGTCACGACCACCCAGTCACGTAAACTGTCTTCTTCATCCACAAGTTCAGATTTCAGACTAAGAAGCGCCTCTGAATAAGGGTCCGTTGCTGAAACTGCCAAGAAGAAAATGGAAAAAGTGGCAAGAAGAAGGATATTGAAGTAAAAACATCTAAAAATCTCCATTGGGACTTGAAGAACCCCAGCGAAAGAGAAAGGGAGGGACACTGGAAGGACTCTAGCAAAGGGAAATGGTATCTCAGTGTGGAAAAAAAAAATTAATAATAATAATCTGTATATTTGGTTGTTTTATTGCTGGATGAGGGAATGCATGGGGAATAGAGAAGAAAGAGATTGAATGAGTGAGCACTTTGGAGTGAAAAGAAGAGAATGACTATTACTGAATAGTTGATACAAGAATGTTATTGGAGGGACCCTTGAGGGTTTGTTTATTTGGATGGTGTTTGCCATTAGAGAATAAAGCCTTCAAATCTAAAATCACCTTTTCCTAACTTTTTTGCTTGAAAGAAAGAATCCAATAAGTGGGAATTCTTGCATGGCTCATTTAAATAATGTTTAATGAAACCTTCCGTGGAACATGCATCAAAATTCGTCCTTATCCATGCCCTTGTATATGTAAAGATCATTTATAGGTCTGTAGCTTGGTCTCTTCTTGGACTCAAAAAAGCATCGTCAACCAAATCAAAATGTCTCAAACTTCGAGGGATATGGGTGGTAAATCTTGATGATAAAGACATGGGGATATCATAGACTTGCAA